ACACGCATTGCAAGCGCAGCCCTTATGGCCCACTTATAATTAAATTTATAATTATCTTCGCCATTCGGCGACAATAAATAAAATGGAGAATTTCAATGAATTTTATCCAAAAATAGTAATTTCAGTCGATTTTTATCTCATCAATCGTTTTTAACTCATAACAATCATCGAATAGAATATATTTTTCAGCGCTTTCATTAATCTTTCGGAAAATTAAGCGATTTATTTATTATCGCCCAAGTAAAATCGATATAAAAATTTTTTAGAGAACCGTAAAATCAACAAATCTTTGTATTCTTTTATTGTTAGCCTATTATTTTAAATCTCTTTTGCGAGATATCTCATTAAATCAAAATAATTTAAAAATCCTAAAATGAAAAAATCTTTGTATTCTTTTATTATTCACTTAGTCTCATTGTTTTAAATTATATCTCTCTTTTGCAAGATACCTCACTAAATCAAAATAATCTAACCGTAAAATCAACAAATCTTTGCATCATTCTTTTATTGTTCATTAGCCTCCTTATTTTGAATTATATCTTTCTTTTGCGAAATATCTTTTTAATATCTTAAATATCTTTATATATTTATCTCTATCTTTATATCTTTATATCTTTTATATTAAATATCGTTAATATAAACAAGGCCAAAACTCAAAACACTCAATACCAAAAAGTACCAAAAGATAACAAAAATGCCTAAAGATATCAAAATACAAAATGCTCTGTATTATATATTATATATATATATATATATATATATTATTTCCATTAACCAAAAACAGACTTTGTGTGAATAGCATGACGCGCATAATTAACATAAGATGCTTATAACAAAAAATATTTAGTTATAGTTATTTGTTTATGTTTGGACAATGATGAGATTTTGTATAGTAAAATAGTTTTTTTTCGGTATAAAATGGAATGGAATTTTAGATTAGGATGCTGTTTCACAGTATTTATTTGGTGAATTTAATTTGTATGTTTTTTTTTGTGTTTGTTGTGAATTTTTCGTTTAGACTGAACAGGGTTTGTAAGGCTGTTACACCACAACAATATAATAATTTTTTATTTTTATTGGATATGGGGACAATAGTTTAGGTAAAACGTGGATTTAAAAAAAAACTGTTTATATTGCAAAGAAAAGAAAGAAAAAGAGCCACTACCACACAACGTTCAAAAAGAAGAAAAAAGTGACCTTTTGATTTTTATAAACAATGATTCATAGTTTCGAGAAAATTCTCGACATCCTCGACATTGTTGTGACCTTTTTATTTTTATATGCAATGATTCATAGTTTCGAGAAAATTCTCGACAGCGTTCGCTTTTTACGACATCGTCAAAAAGGCCTGATCTTTTCACCACAGAGCTATTGGAGAATACAGTTACAGCTCCCCAGTAGCCACTTGGATTTTTGGTACTATGACAGGTTTACTCCTGTCAAAGACAGAGAAAATAAGAGAAAAATAAGACAAACAAGAGAAAAAATTGAGAGATCAAAAGAAAATAATACTTTGAAAGAAACTTACTATTTGCAAGGAGGTTAAGATTATTCGAAACCTTTAGAAGTTTCGAGAAAAATAATATAAAATCAAATATATATACAATTCTTATTGTATAAGAAACCAAAAAATGAGACATTCTTAGCGATGGATCACTCGGCTCGTGAATCGATGAAGAACGCGGCCAACCGCAATAACTAGTGCGAATTGCAAACACATTGAGCACTAAAATTTTGAACGCAAATTGCGCTAATAGGTTCGTTCCTATTGGCACGTCTGGTTGAGGGTCTAATTATTGAATAAAATGGTGAATAATTTTATAATGTATATTTTTTATTTTATATATTCACCAGAAAAAACAAATGGTTAATGTAATCATTAATCGTCATATAATCATTAATATCACTACTTATGTATTATTCGCATAATTATCATCATTTATCCTCATCTATCTTTACTCGTTTACGTATGGTGTTGTAGATGTACATATGTACATGTATATGCTAGATTATAAAAATTATAGTATGTATATGTGAGAGTAAGATATGATATGTATGTTAATGATGTATGTATATTTATATTTTTTCACGTATAATGCGTCGTAGTGCGATGATATAGATGAAGTTTATCGACTGACAGTAGAAAACAACTTGAAAAAAAAGAACATTTTATAAAGCTCCGTAAGCTGTTAAGATAAAATTTATAACTGATAAAATTTTAGTTTTTTGAATTTTTTTAGATATTTCTTTTTTTATAGTTATTAAATATGGGTTGTCATAATGAGATACCTTGCACAGAGATATAATTTAAAATAATGAGGCTAACGAACAAAAGAATATAAAGATTTGTTGATTTTACGGTTAGATTATTTTGATTTAATATCTCGCAAAAGAGAGATTTAAAATAACAGGCTAACGAAAATAAAAGAATACAAAGATTTGTTGATTTTACGGTATTATTATGATTTAATAGAATAGGATTTAATAGGATAATAGTAATAGGCAAAAGAGAGATATAATTTAAATATAAAACTTAAAATAATGAGGCCAACGAAAAATAAAAGAATGCTCTTTTATTTATAAAAGATATAAAAGATTTACTCCTGTCCAATTGATTTTACGGTCCAAATATTTTGATTTAGCGAGATATTGCGGAAAAGAGAGATTCTCAGAAAGAGAACAGAAGGGATCTTCCTTATATTAAAGGGAAATCTTTTTCGAAATCTCTTATTCAATTTATAGTTCCTTATCGACGACTTCGGAAAATCGCTCCTTCCGTAATGATAGTTATTTATGGAATATCGTGCAGAATTCGATATATAATTTATAGCAAGCGTTCTTTTATTACTGTTTCAATGCAAAATGATCGACAAGTATTCTTGTATATTCTCACCTTTAGGAAATCTTCAAATTTGGCTAATTAAACCATTAAATAGTATATATAAAATATTAAAGACATCGAAATATCAACTACCCAGCTCCCTTGCTCCCACAAATTCCTCTCCTCGCCCTACCATAAATTCCAATTGATCAAAAGTGGCCTTGGAAATATACGACTTGAGATAGACGGGGCGAAGATTTATCTTCATCACCTACATTTTAATGTTTCTTTTATAGAAATGGAAGACGATCCTTATCGTACCTCTCACTAATAAAATACTACACTATACTGTTATTCTACAATATTTTCTAATAGCTTTTTTAACTTTCATCTCTCACACTTTCTGCGACAGTACCTCTCAAATACCAAAATTACCTTGCCACTACTTTGTGAAAAGAAGCAAAGTTTTAAAAAGAGACCCTAATTTTTGCATTGTTTAAGTTTTTTATAATTCATTATTATTATTTATTTATTATTTAGAAATTTAAAGATTAAAAAGCCAAAGACTTAGTAATTAATTACAATAACTGTATAATCTATACATTTTCAATATATCGAATTAAATATCATGCATTAAAAGATCAATTTTACTGAAACGTTATTATTGGCTAATTTATCATTCAACAAATATTTTTTAAAATTCTCTCAGAATCTCTTATCATTTTTCTTCATCTCGCTAGGATTTCATTATAATAACATTTTCATATTTTGCAACAGCAAGTTTAAAGATTAAGATTAAAGATCAAAAGGTTAAAGAAATAGGTTCTTAACAGCTATCTAATTTATGGTTTTTACGCCATTTTTTAGTGTAAACTGATTCCTATATTAAATATCACAATATTTTAAATTCTAATTTTGGTGAACCATAATGCTATGCTAAATTTTTTAGATATTAGAAATTTTTAGATATTTTAAATATAATTAAATTAGAAATTTAATTATCAAATATTTTTAATATTTTCTTCATCAACCAACTTTGTTTCAAAATTTATTTCCAATAAAAACCAAATGGTGCTTGATCAATTTTTTCAAAGTGGTGTTATCGCAGAATAGTGAATCCAAAAGCTACTTGAGATCATAAAAATCATAAAAATCAAAAAATATTTGAATTATCAATTAAATCAACGATCAATTAGTGCTGCTAACACAATTACCAAAAATCAAACAAGAATATCTTAGCTTTGAAATGGGCTGACGCCAACGGATTTCTGCAGCAGAGTAATCGAACAGAAGATTTAAAAGTACTAAAAGTCGATCTATCTTCCTTTTGCCTTTTTGTAGCTCCTACACCATGAAGTTTTTCATCCATTCCTTCATAAAAGTTTAATATTTATACTGATATAGTTTTGGCGATTCTTTTTCCGCTAACTTGCTTATTGTTGTTGTCGTCTGCCTATGATTGTTTTTGAATTTCTTGTTGATTCTTGATTGCCAATTTCTGGTTCAAGCGCATTTTGCGCATATTTTCACTGCCAATAAATATATAAAATAAATAAACAAAAAAACCAATGGGGACGAGATCAATCAACGATGCAGCCGACTTTTTTTCATATGCTTCAATAAAAACTAAATATCACAAAAGATTAAATGTTATGAAGATCATCCAATAAGACAGATATTAAAGAAATTTGTAGTTATTATCTGTGAACAAATAAATAGGTCGTATTTAGGAAGAAATATAAACAAGAGAAGAAGCTATTTTAATTCTAAGCGATTGTTTACTAAATATTATTAAATATTTAAGGCCAACCATTTTATTAGTTTTATATTAAATATTAGAGATATTAAATAAATATAAAAGAAAATATTAAATTTAACGATCGAATTATTATTATTAAAGTGAATAAAGAAATAAATTTCAAAAAATTCGAATAAAAAAAATTTAATCGTTAATCGTTAATTTAATCGTTAAAAGTTTCGTAAAATTAGTAAAAATCTTCAAAAATCTGGACTTTGAAAGTCTATTAGATTTGATGCTGTGGATCTACTCTTATTTGTCTTCTAAAAGGAGCTTCACCATAGCCTTCATTGGATTTAAACTATACAAATGGTGAGTGCTACTATATACCGAGAAAAAATATACTTCACGCATATTAATGTTGACTTTAAAAGCAAACCATTAATTTTCGAGTTTTAGCTTCCGATAATGTTTGGCAAGTGGGTGATTTTCTTTGATTTCGAATGTTAGACTTGTCTTCTGGTAGTAATCTGCCATTAATGATATATTGTTTATAACATCATCAAGTAATATAGCCTATTAAAAGAATTTAATTTCATTAAAAAAATTAAAAAATTTAATTTTTTCTTAAAAGATTATAGAAAAAATTATATTACATTATAAAAAATTTTTTCTCAGCTTTTTCCTTAAGGGCTGAAAAATAGCAAAATTTTTCTGGTGAACAAAATAGTTATGAAATTTGCAATACCAATTTAAACAATTGTGAAAGGAAAAAAAACAAATTCTTACTTTTCCAACATTGTTAGCAGCAGCATCATATGAAATATGAACGAAATGGACATGAAGATGATAATACGATGGTTGATAATGCAAATACATGCGAATCTATAAAATTTCTATTAATCTTTCCTGTGTGGATAAATTTTTGAGGAAATGATTTTGCACATTTATACGAAATTTCACCATTTTTATTATGAATAAAAACTTTCTACCTATTCAACCTTATCTTTTTCGAAATTTTATTTCGAAAATATCTTCCACAAATTATAATTATAAGATTTTTGAATAATGCGATTGAAAAAATTAAAAAAAAACAGAAAAAAGATATATGTAATATAGATATATGTAAATCGAGCAAATATGAATATCAACAGTCGCTGACATATTGAAAAATGCTCATATAAAATTATCGAAAGCGAAGTTAACCTGTTGACGATGAACATTATATTTCTCTTCCACAGTCTTTAAACCTTGTTCCCTTATGTTTTTTAATAATGGCAAATGTTCTTCTTTTAAATCTCTAAAATTTTTTTAAAATAAAATTTAAAGATTAAAATTTAAATTAAATTAAATTAAATTAAAATTTAATTAAATTCATATTAAAATTTTAAATTAAAATTAAAATTTAAATTAAAATTTAAGTTCCTAAATTAATGAATTTTAACAGAATTCAATCAAAGAAAAATTAATATTTTTTTTAAATCTAAATATTATTAAAATTATATATAATTGAAAATTATAATTGGCAGCAAAATTTTTAGAATTTTTTTAGCGAAAATCAAATCATTTGAAAGTACCTGACAGATTTAATCGTTCTGCGATAAACAATTGCTTGCACATATAAATTTTCAATATCTATGCCATTCCATTTTAAATCCGGTAAAAGCATAAAACCATTGATTTGATCAGGATTATCGAATATAATCCGCTCTGATTCGCATTTCTTATCCAACACATTATACACCCACTATACGAAAGGAATTTTAAAGAAATATTAAAAGATTAAGAAGTAAAATAGAGCAGAAGCGAATTTAATGCCACATTTACCGAGTATATAAGCGAAATTAATTTAAAACTCCCTTTTTTATATTTTACTAAACGGAAAGAAAGATTCTTTTAAAAAATGGTCAGATAATTTTCCACATTTCATTAAAAATAATTCATAGTGTAGTTCCGAAAGATGTCGGAATTTGGAATCGTCAAAATAACAGACAACAGTCCAACCATAAAGCACTTTAAAAAGGCAAACAAAAACTGCGTATTAAATGCGATAATTTACGAACTTACTTCCACAGATAACTGATTTGATTGAATATATGGCAAAGTTATATTATAATAATCATCAGCACTTTCTTGAATCAAGCATCGATTTTGTTTTCTATATTTTTCGATATGCATATCAGTACAAGGATAGATTAATGAAGACTTGATTCCTTCAAAAAAAAACATCATGAAATTGTTAAAGTCTACTACGCTGGAATTAATCGTCATCACCTTTACTTTTATTAATATCATATAATCTGGTCCAGTGGACTGTCATTTAAAAACGATCATTCTGAACCATATAGTATAGTATATGACCATATAAAACATACAGCAACACATAAATAAAAGGGTAGAACCCATACTCAACTAATATATTAAATGATTATCATGGAATATGAAAACGATATTTCATCATGAAAATCAAAAAATTTAAAAAAATAATAAAAATAAAAATTTTGGGCTAAATGAATCAATTACTGACAAAAAAAAATTAATAGTGCACACTTTCGAGAATTTTTTATAATAATTGTAAATAAAATAATAAAAATTCCCAAAAAACGAACCATTGAATTTCTCTGGAATAAAAAGCATACTACTTGAATAAATATCATTTTTTAAAATCGGTTCAATAGTGCTATTCGTAATAATCGCTTGAAGCGAGTTTGTATCCGCTGGAAATGGAGTTTTTTCAGCAATAATAATAGCATTTTCGTTGGAATTCGATTGAAGCAAAATGCAGATATTCTTTAAAAAAAAAAAGTAGAAAATAAAAAATTAATTTAAAAATCGTAAATATAATGAAATATTTATGAACTTTATAGGCATTTAGTTTTAATCCAACAAGCCCTCGCTGGTTGCTCGTATGAATTTCCTTTATTTCCGTTAATTGTAGATATATTCTCCTACAACATTTCGGAAGGATTCGCTCCTACACGTGCTTTTGAAGCGGGAGAAACCATAAAGTTAAGCTTCGCCTATCTTCCCTCCCTTTTCAGAAAAAAAAAAATTCAAATAAAAATATGAAAGAAAGTTAAATCAAATTCAAATTCATATTCAAATTGTCATTCATTTTTTTCTAAAACAATAAGAAATGAAAAATTTAAAATAGCTCGCAACTAAATGTGGTTTGACGCATATTCTCTCGAGGTAGGTACCAATTTCGTAATTCAAAAATCTTTGCACTTTGGTATTTTAAAAGCTTCACTAAGCTCTTTTATAATGCAGCGAGACCTCTTTCATCTTAACTTTTCTATTAAACTATTTCCAACGATTTTCTTCATAACGCACTTTTGTTTTTAGCATACCTCAAAATTCAAGCGACTTACGACATTTTCAGTTATATTTTCGCAGGATAATTTTTTAGGATTATTGATGCCTCTCAAAAATCATTAAAAAACCGAACTTTTTTCTTAATATTTTTCACGAATTTGCTTCATTAATTATTTCTATAATTTCTCGAATGGTCTTCCTTGCATTCAATTTTTTCAGATGTGTATTTATAATAATTTAATTTATAATAATTATAATAATTTAATATCTTTAAATATCAATATGTTCAATTTTAGAGATTTTAATTTTCCTATAAACATATTCTTGCAAGATTTCTTCTTCTTCTTTTAACAGCTCTCGTTGTCACCATTAATGGTTAAGCTGGTTCAGCTGGCTACAAAGGTATGACATTTCCAAGTTTTCAAGCTGTTCAGTCTGATGCCATCTTTAACGATCTTGGAAGCTATTCGTTTTTCCATCGCCTAGGTCCATACATCGCTCATATCCGCCAAACCCAAAATCTTAACAGACTATATCAGTCCAAGTCCTCCTCGTTTTTGATGCCAACCGTCACAGAGTTTAGCAAGTAACACGTATCAATTAAAATTTTAAAATTTTCTTATTTATTCGAAATAGAGAAAAATTTCTATCTACTGACAAATAATAGGAAAATAAAATAGAAAATAGCAAAAGTCTATAATTTCCTTGTTTCATTTATTAAATTTGCTATATGAAAGGGAAAGAATTAATTAAATTAAAACAACTAACTACTAAAATTTCGATAAACTGTTGCTTTTGATAAACTTTGATAAGAATAAAACTAAACAAAATTAAGTAAATTAAAATCCCCACAATGTATTTTAAGAACTGCAATTCCAAAAAAGATCCCCATGAAGTGAATACCTAATTTTAAAATAAAAATTAGAATTGGGTGCAAAAAAAACCTTATGAGTTGGATCGTTTGCCAGGATCTCCTTGATCCTAAAACATTTCATCAAACCCGCCATGTCAACTGATTCCATATTTTCTCAATAATCACCAACACAACCAACAACCAAAGTATTGCAACAAACCAAACCGATGTACTGCTCACAGCGACGCAAGACCCAAGGCCAATTTAACAGCAGAAAATCAAATTCTATCTCTAAAACCCAACCTCCATGCCTTCGCATTTCCTCGCATGTTTTTTATTATTTTTCATCAATTTCTTTTGCTTTGTTCAAGAAATCATTTATATCTTTTATGAAAGAAATACAAGGGTTAAAACAAGCATAAAATATTTATAATAAGTAAGGACTTTAATAAAACCGTAAATACAAATAATAATTACATCTATATAAAATTTAAAAAAAAGTGAAGAAATAAACAATAAATTATTCATATGAACCACAAATTTTCGATTAAATATCAGCTGAGACCTACAAAACAAAAAACAAAAGGCCGAAGAGGTTCAATGAACTAGATCAATTTGATTTCCTTTATATTTTAAAGTTCATCTTTGTCTTCCCTGCCAGTATCAGTTGGAGGTACACCACCAGCATCTTTATACAATTTGGAAGTAATTGGTTGTACTTTGCTTTCCAAATCCTTTTTATGCTGTTGCAATTCTTCAACGGATGCTGCCTAAATTAAATTTTTAAATTTAAAATAAGACCAAAATCCATATAAAACTTATAACCTAAAAGCATAAATAAATTAAAACCTAACAACTGAAAATAACTTACCGCATTACTTTCCAGCCATGAGATAGTCTCATCAACCGCATCTTCAATTGTCTTTTTATCTTCATCACTTAATTTGCCACCTAATTTTTCTTTATCGCCAATTTGATTCTTTAGCGAATAAGCATAACCTTCCAATTCATTCCTTGCTTCAACTTTTTCTTTAACCTTAAAATAAGATTCATTAGAGAAAAGACTCCTCAAAAAACACCACAGTTTCAAGTTTTTTCACAAATGAAAGATAATCATACTTTCTTATCCTCGTCAGCGAACTTCTCAGCATCATTAATCATTCGTTCAATATCTTCAGGAGATAATCTGTTATGATCATTGGTAATAGTGATTTTATTCTTATTACCAGTTCCTTTATCTTCAGCTGTTACATGTAGTATACCATTAACATCAATTTCGAAAGTAACTTCAATTTGAGGAACACCTCGAGGAGCTGGAGGAATTCCTGTTAAATCAAACTTGCCCAAAATGTGGTTATCTTTTGTCATTGGACGTTCACCTTCGTAAACCTATAAATTAAGCGAATTTGAGAAAAAGAAAGAGCAACTTTTCCAAACTATTACAGAAATCATTTTTACTTGAATGGTGACAGTAGGCTGGTTATCTGCAGCTGTAGAGAATATTTGGCTCTTCTTCGTAGGAATAACAGTGTTGCGATTTATCAGTTTAGTCATAACTCCGCCAACAGTTTCAATTCCTAATGTAAGTGGGTTCACATCAAGCAATACAATGTCATGCGACGAATCACCCTTTCCACCCGTACTAAGTACACCTGCTTGGACGGCTGCACCATAAGCGACTGCCTCATCAGGATTTATTCCACGTGATGGCTCCTGAAATCCAATATAAATATATAAAGCCAAATAAGCAAGAAATTCCATCTCAAATGACGAGGAACTTCCTATGAATAAAAATAAATAACCTTGCCATCGAAAAACTCTTTCAAGAGCTGTTGAACTTTAGGGATACGAGTGGAGCCACCAACAAGCACAATTTCATCGATATCACTTTTCTTGAGGTCAGCGTCTTCCAACACCTGCAATGAATATTAAAAATTACTGAAATTGTTGACTTACAATAAAACGTGTTTTGAAGCCATAAATTTGATTCCAAGAATTTTTCGTGAACTTTTAGAAAAAATTGCCGGTAACAGATCATTTTAAAAAACCTTTTTAACAGGATTCAATGTTCCCTTGAAGAGATCCATGTTAAGTTCTTCAAATTTGGCCCTAGTAAGAGTCTCCGAAAAATCATCGCCATCGTATAGAGATTCAATTTCCAATCGAACTTGATGTTGAGTAGACAAGGCACGTTTAGCTTTCTCGACTTCACGACGAAGTTTTTGTACGGCACGATTATCTTTGCGAATATCTTTGCCAGTCTTCTTCTTGTACAATTTTATGAAATATTCCATAACTCTCTGGTCAAAATCTTCACCACCAAGATGTGTGTCACCATTTGTCGCCAAAACTTCAAATACTCCATTATCGATTGTCAACACTGATACATCAAAAGTTCCACCACCAAGATCAAATACCAAAATATTTTTTTCGCCTGAAATATTCAGAAACTTAAAAATATTCTACAAACAAATATGTAAATGGATACGAAAATAAAAAAAACCACAAAAATCAACCAACCCTCTTTCTTATCCAATCCATAAGCAATAGCAGCTGCGGTAGGTTCATTTATGATTCGAACTACATTAAGACCAGCAATAGTCCCAGCATCTTTTGTTGCCTGACGTTGTGCGTCGGTGAAATAAGCTGGCACTGTTATTACAGCATTTTTCACAGGTTTACCCAAATACGCTTCAGCAATTTCTTTCATTTTTGAAAGAACCATCGACGATATCTCTTCAGGTGTGAACAATTTTTCCTCTTTCTTCCCACTGTGAGATAAATCAACTTTGATCTTGGGCCGGTCATTTTCATTTACAATCTAAAAATATCATTTATATCATTTCATTCTCACACTCCATTTTCACTCCATTTTGGCGAACTCCACCTTTTAAAACATTAAATTGTTGAAAAATCGCCAGAAAAAACCTTGAATGGTAAATGTTTCAAGTCAGCTTGTATAGTTTCATCACGAAACATTCTTCCAATTAATCGTTTCGCATCAAAAATTGTATTCTCTGGATTACTGGTTAGTTGATTCTTTGCTGGATCACCAATTAAACGTTCACCAGTCTCCAGGAATGCAACATAGGAAGGTGTGATACGATTTCCTTGATCATTCGCAATGATTTCCACTCGTCCATTTTTGTAAATACCAACACAACTGAAAAATCCGACTATATTCAAACAAAATTTTTTTAATCCAAAGGAACAGTTTTTCATTCCAGCGTTTTCAAAAATCGGAAGTTTCAATCACTAGTTGTGGAAGCAATATGTTGCTTCGTCAAAGAGAAAGTAAATTATAAAATGAATTCTGGCCTTTCTTATTTACAAGTCACTTAACTAAATCTCATCAAGGAAATCATTAGCCAAACGAGATATGGAACATATCGTTTGAAAAAGCTCTAAAATGTCAACTCGTGCCAAACTTTATTAAGGATTTTTTTTTTCAAAATTTTCACACTTTTTTTCTAAAAGCGCCCACCATAACTGGTTATGTCCACTTTGCTGGCTTGTGGGAGACAACAAATTTAGCTGATGATTTTTGTTAAAATTTTCAATTGAAGAAGTACGAATCGTCCGCTAACATTAGCCGGATGATATTAAGACAATTTGAAGATAATTACGACCAAGAAAATTTTTTCTATTCAATAGAACCTGTTCAGCATCATCTTCGAGAAACTATTCATCTAACCATTCTACCCAAGTAAAATTTTAAAAAATTTACATAAAATCTGACAAAAAACAGTAATTTTAAATATGAAAACAAAGGAAAAAATAAAATAAGTTAACCTATATGTCGTTCCTAAATCAATTCCAACAATAGTATCCAAATCACTCGCTGCTTCTTCTTTCGATTCTTCGCAATTTATTGCTAATAAAGATAATAAAATCGTAGTGATGACGACAAATCTCTTCATATTTTCAATCGAACAATTTGTGAATCTATACTAAAAAAAGTAATTTTGAAAAATTTCATTGTACAATTTGTACATTGTACATAATAAAATATCTAGAAAACGTGAAATAACGCAAAGAAAAAAGTGCAGACCGACTATAGAAATACAGAGCCGCAAAATGAAAAATTATCACCTTAAACTACCAATAATAGACAAATCGGCTTTACGATGAGCCATTCAAATAGCAAATATTACCAATTACTTTAAATCTCACCACTTAAACACCGATTTCCCTACATTCATAAAGCTTATCTTAACTCTCTCCCCATTCCCAACTTATGTACTCTAATATTGTAACATTCTAATGCTCCAATATTCCCATGAAGAATTCCCCACTGCCCAAATCCGCCCCACCACAAACAACATCCTCAAACTCACCACTCCCCACAAAACAACAAACTACAATAGAATTTTCCTCAATGCGTTTATAAATTCCACAGGAAAGTGGGCGTGTTAGCAACGTGCTTAAATTTCATTGGTCGATTTCACAAATATGCGTCACTTCATGACGTTGCATACATAGTCTTACAATGATTTTTACTGAAATATAAAACGGCGCCAATTTAAATCGCGTTTTTTGAAATGACAATTTGGTAATCATGTGAATTTCACGTGGAAATTGCACGCCCATTCATAGACGTCTGTGGAAGTTCTACACGTGTGCACGTGGAAATACGCATTTTAAATTTTTAATAATTCGTAAAAATATAATTAATCTATATGTAAACAAACCGAAAAAATTTCATAATTTATAAATAAGCAATTGTAATTTTATTATAATTTTAATAATTTTAATCTTTATTATAATTTTTTCATTCACTTTTTCTACTCTTTTTTAACTTTTACTTTTACTAAAAATTAACTTTTATTTAAACTTTTACTTAACTTCAACATTCGCCGTTTTGTCCAACAAATACATTGCCAGGAATTAAGAAAAAAAAAAGCCGACCACGTAGCGAATATGTTTGGAAAATATTGAAAAAATATAAAAAAAGTTGGCCACGCCGACGAAAAATACAGCCTCTTATAAGGCCTTTTTTCTATTTTTTTTAGCATAAGTGCTTTTTAATTTAATCTTCTTCTGGCAGGTTTCACCATTTTTGGTGAGACTGGACTGGCTCCGCTGGTTACAATGATAAGGCATTTATAAGCTTCTCGATTCGGCACCATATAAAATGAGAATAATAAAGACTAGTCTTTTTTTCTGTTCCATATGTATCCATTCATAACTGAGCCACACCTATAGGTTCAAAATCCTGGTTCTATTAGTTCCTAACTGGTCATTCCTTACCATTCATCACAAAAGGCTTAACAAATAATGACGTGTGGCCTAGTTGGCTAGCATAGCCGACAATATTATAATGATGAATTATTTATTTATTTAAAAACTATTTATTTAAACAATTTTTAATAAGTTCTGATAGGATTTAACTGTCTCTTCTGATAATTTTGACCAATTTTGCAGCTGATTAAATTTATTTTCTCTTTTTATCAGTTTATCAGTTTATTTAAATGGTAGTTTGTTTATATATCGGCGCTAAGAAATTCTATCTGTGTACACTTCTATCCTCAAGTGATTCTCTGCCAGATAGACAGCCATAAACACTTAGAAAATGGTGGTCACTTTAAACCACTCGTTTTTTATTCCTCTCATTTTTATTTTATTCTATTCAAATTTAACTCGTTGCAGTTTTATTTTATTTAAATTTTTTTCTATTGTTTTCTGAATAATAATATTTTTATTAATATAAATAAATTTTAATAAAATAATTAATAAAATTAATAAAAATAAGCGGTAAAAATTGATTTACAAAAAATTGCGAAATTTCACAAATTTTACAAATTTCAAATTTTAAATAAATAAAGTGAATAGACTGAAAGATGAATTATTGCAAGGGGGCCAAAGAAAGAAAGCCAAAAAAATAAAATACAATAATAATAAATAATTTTTTTATATGGTACGTTAAGAAAATGCGTTAAACAAACTTCAAAAAATGGTAAACTTATCTTTTATCAAATTATCACTTATCACTTATTAGTATGATTGTTTAACCGAAATTTACGAAAAATAAAGGAAAGGAAAAATTTAAATATGAAATGTCTTCTGATTTGATTGATCTTCATCGCAATCTTCATTAATTTGATTAGAACCATTAATATTGATAATTGCTTGATTTACACGATTTATTCGACTTTCTCGATTTGACTGTAATGAATTTGCTAAACCATTTTTTTTAACTTGATTACAGCATGCTGATAATAAATCGAGGAACAGTACTGCACATTCGATTATTGTTATCACACTAAAACCTAAAATGAAATAAGATTAAATAAGCTTCATTGCTGTAGAATTCAGTAGCAACTTAGGCTATGATAATAAAGATATGGAAATGCGTCGAGCAACAAATGAAGTGCTGGTATAAATGGTTGGAGAAGTTTCGACTGATGACAAGAGTGAAGACGTATTATCAAGCGAGAAGTCCTTAGAGGGATCCTTAGGATTCATCTCTATTTTTTTTCAAAAAACTCTCACCTTAACTCATTCCACTTGGCTTATTGGATCAGATAGATGAGTCTTTAGTTACCTTAATTTTCTAATGGTACCAACTAAAATAGAAATAGACTACTAGAAGAAAAGGATGTGTATATGTATAGATATGACAACTAATGGATAGCAGTTTAGAGAAAAATATTATTTCTAAAAAATTTACCTAGCCAAAGTCCGAGGTGTCCACCAACATCTGCGAGAAGATTCACAACCTGGAAGATTACCAACTTTCACCGTCAAATCGGCATTATACCAATTTTAAATGAGTGGTACTTATGGATTTTCCAAGTACTCAAATTTTTCTGAATTTTCTTAAAGGTTAAAGGTTAAATCTTAAAAAAAATGAGTAAACCAATAAAACGAGTAAACTTACACCATATGCTTCACTTTCACGTATTAATTCGTAATTCAATTGTTCATAATATACTTCAACCATTGCACCATTCTTGCCATAAAATATTTCGCATTCTTCTTTACTCATTTCCTCACAAAATCCAAGCTGAAATTACCAAAAATCACATAATATTATTCGTATTATTATTATTAGTATTGTGCATAGCATATTGAATAAGGACTTATCAACTGATAATGCTGATAATTTTCTAAATTGCTAAGTTTCTTTTTATATAATCCAGGTTTATTTGCTCAATTAAGCTAAATTTTATCATCAAACTTTAAAAAGAATAGAGTTAAAAAATTTTTTATTCGATATATGATTTCTTAAATAAGTGCAAATCGTAGAAACAATGCAAAATGGTGGTGTGCAATTCATTTTCAGTCAATTTATAAACTTATTGTGGCGTGCAAATCATGCCAACAGTGCTTAAATTTATAAAAAGAATGATAAAGTGATAAGTGAAAAAGTGAAAAAAATATTCATAACAAACAACTATGAAGAATTATTGTTGACTTACTGTTTCTTTTAGCTGCAATTAATCGATGCGATTAACGATAAAAATTGATAAAATTTTTGATAATATTTTCAAATTATTTCAATGGATGCTTATTTATGGTGCTTCATAGCAGAATCATAGTAATATAGAAGATCAGGAAACTTCTATTGTTTTTCTTAAAAAATCCAATTTTGGCAAATAAACATATTTTTTTTTATAATCTAGAATAGTGATAGTGAAACAGATTTGATTAAACCGAATAAATTGAGTAGTTTTTATATAAGTTATTGATAATAAGAAGTACATCAGTTGCTCCTGAGGGCCATCTTGATGCCGAAAATGTTACACTATAAACCTCATGGTCACACGATTGCTTACATACACAATCACCTAAATTATCAATGATATGATGGAAATCACCCATTTCTGCAATTGCTGTTTCTACACAATTTCCTGCAATAAATCACTTCATCACTTTTTTTATCACTTTTTATCACTTTTATCACAATAAGTTCATCACTTTTTTTTTTAATAGATCTCTGATAAATTTTTAATTGTTGGCTGATTAAAATTTGCGGAAAATTGCCTTTCGGCAAGAAAGCATTATCTTAGCCATAAAAGATTTGATTGTCTAATCAAGAAATTGCTTACTAGCTGTCGCATTGAATGCCGAGCAATGTTTTTGCCCTTTAAGTACAGGAAAGCGTGGATCACCACATCCACATTTGTTAAGGAGCATATTTTGAAAACAACTTCGATGGCAGCCCTAAATTAGTTTTTTTAATGCTTAGATATTTCTTAAATTTTGAAGGAGCAGAAAATCTGAATCATGTGGACTTGATGGGTCCCTTATAGTATAAATATTGGAAATGTGAATTGATTTTGATTTACTTATAGTGACATGGTGAAAATTAGTCCCTGTACGGCAAATCAAAACTTGATCTTGATTTAAATGCAATATTAAAAAAGAAAAAAACCTCTGGATCATAGTCATATCCACCATAAATATATTTCGTTGAGCTAAGTTCATCATTATTTTCACATTCTCCATATGGTGCCGATAGACGTTTTATAACTTGCTGAATTATGGGTTTACATTTAAAACCAAGGAAATCGTCTTTTCCCCCTCCCTCTAACATCCTCCCCTCTATCAATGATTATAAAATGATTTATGTTTATGGTTACTCTTATTTGATGAATAGAAAAATAGAAATAAAAGACAAAAAATAACCTTTTTGAGTCCAAAAGATGAAGCAAAACCAACCGGAGCGCTATAGCCGAAAGTATCTGGGAAAGGGAATTCCGTAGGATTATGTACAGCTAATCTGACACCTGCACTTTCTGAAGTTGACATATAGTCCGTTGTGTTGACGAATAATAGGACTCGAATACCTAAATTTTTGGCTCATCAGTGTAACATCAGGCTCCTGTCTATTGTTTTAAAGTTTTGAGATGGGATGAGGATGGGACTATTTCAAAGTGAATAATTATGCTCAGAACAAGAAAATCTATGGACCCATAACCTGGCCAAAGATCCATATCTTATTTCTTCATTGAATTTATATTTATATATAAATATTATAAATATAATTTATATTTATATATAAATATTTACATATTATTTATATTTATTTATTGATTTATTCTGTGCATTCTTTTAAAACATAGCATAAAGAGCTAACTTTAAGGAAGGATTCTATAGATTTTATTAGACGACTACAGCGAGATGATGGCAATCCTATTTCCAATTTTTCAAACCTTTTATTCATAGACAAGATTCAGATTCAGAAAAAAAAAATCGTCGACTTACCATACATTGACCCCGCTTTACTGCTCATAAAAATATTACTTTTATTCCAGTTGAAAGTATAGCAATTGCCAAATTCTGGGTCCACATGAAGTTTGAAATCATTATCTGCAATTTGCTACTCCGAAAATTTTAATAATACAAGAAATATTCGAGAGGAAATGGCTACTTTTCAATTAGCCTAATTAACTATGGGCCAATAAGACAAGGCAAGTCTAGCATTTCGAGAATTTCCACTCTGATAATCACAAATAGCGAAGCATATCGGATGAGAAACTTCCTATACTTTTGTCCACGAAGTGGTTCTCCGGTAAAATATTTTAGCTGCCAGCAAGTGGAATGAACCTGGCACCAAGCACTTACTTTTACTTTCACTTAATGTAAATAAAAGTAGAAAAATAAATAAAAAATAAATATAACCAATGTCGCATTGCTTGCCATTAAATGAGCACATTTCAATGAATTCATTTTTTTGGTGCGATAATGCAATTCGTTGTTTTTTAGATAAGGCTGACATGGTGAATATAAGGTTCTCTTTTGCTCGAGTTAGCATCGCAACACCATCAGTTAAGCCCTTCGAATTATAGATTTTTAAGAAACATCCTGAGGGGCTGTTTTTGGGAAAATTTTATAAAAATCGAGAAAATCTTTGGCTTCTATAGTGAAGCATAATCTGTAATGCGTTTTGATCAATTAATATTAAAGTGTTTCGTTAAGAATGGAATATTTCAGCATGGATTTTCCAATTTCTCTTCCTTGACAAAAGCTAATCAGAGAAGTCAGCATGGTTAATGGGGAAACATCGGTGCATCTTTCTCAGAGTAATAAAAAAAAAACGATAATCTGACCTGATCACAAGCATAGCAATCATTGGGACTAGTCTAACTAGAATTGGTGCTGTTATATGAAGAATTCACAAGAATCATAAGGTAGCAAAAAAGGTGATAGTCGATGGACTGAATTGGTGTCGAGAATTTTCTCGAAACTATGAATCATTGTTTATAAAAATAAAAAGGTCACAACAATGTCGAGAATGTCGAGAATTTTCTCGAAACTATGAATCATTGTTTATAAAAATCAAAAGGTCATTTTTGGCTTGCTTCTTCCTTTTAAAACGCTATGTGGGAGTGGGTTTCCCTTTTTTTTGCAATGTAAATAGTTTTTTTTTAAACTCACGTTTTACCTAAACTATTGTCCTTATATTCAATAAAAATAAAAAATTATTATATTGTTGTGGTGTGACAGCCTTACAAACCCCGTTCAGTCTAAACGAAAAAGTCACAACAATTGGTTATTTTATTATTAGAATTATTTTAAAGGCAATTTATTACTTACTGTAAATCCCATTGCTTTAACTGTTTCTGGAGCTGTAACACGTGCTGACTGGTTTTTGTGCCTAGTTGTTGTTGGAGGAATAGTAGTTGTAGTTGTTGTCGTTGTTGTGGGCGTCGTAGTCGATATAGGTTTCCATAATTTTCGAATTTTTTCTCTTGTCGTGATTTCTATGCAAATTGGCTTCTAAAACATTAATACCTCCGAATAGTCTTTTTTTTGTTTTTTTGGTTGTCAATCATTGTTATATTTATATATTCATTTATTTAGTTGGCATTTCCACTAAAAAACAATTGTTAATAGATTCAAACTTAGTCAATAAATATATTTTTAGTATTTGAAATTTCTAGGATTTATTCAATAAAAAAAATCATCGACTAGTTTTTCAGGATTTCAGATTTTGATTTGCTTTTCATAGTTGGTGCAAATGGTGCAAAAAAAAACAAAAAAACCGTAAACCTTTTCTATTTTTGTTTTTTTGTTTCTACACATGCACGAAAAATTTGTGATATCGCCATTATCACCATTATTTTGATTTTTTGTGGAATTATACTCGCAGAATCCATCATCAAAGCATCTTTCGCATAATGCTTCATACCAAACGCTATAAAATTCATTATAATGGAGAATTCTTCGCATTGTAATAAACTGCAATAACTACTATTTCTGACGATTTTGATTAGAACTGACTTTTGCCTGAATGAAGAAAAGAGAAATGATCAAAATGACAGAAAATATTTATAAAGCTAAAAACATACGTTATGTTAAAGCATGGCCAAGCAGTTTTGGAATTACGGTCATATATGCACAGACAAACCGCATCTTCTGGTACAGGAAACGATTGAAACCGCAAACACTCCATACTGCTGGCACCAACACATTTACAGTGTGCTTCAACTAATTCATAGCGCTTTACAGTTGCCTTAAAATTGAGGACATTTATTTTAACTTGAAAATGGGTGATTCTGGCCATCTCTATCTTTCGTAATTAAATGATTCCGTAACGAAATTTTCTCTGATTAGATAAAATTAAGCAGAGCGAGCTTGGCCAGTGATAGTGAAAGCTGTTAGAATAAATTACAAATATGAAAAAAAAAAAATCATATAAAATTTCTTGTAAAATTTTTCAAGGCTTCTTTCTAATTATATGAAATGTTTCAGTTAAAAAAAATACGAAAGGAAATATTCTAATAAAGTAATTTTCAATATAGGGGATAGAATGGCTCAGTGGGTTATTGCTCAATTAAGTGCTTCTATTCCTCGTAGGAATATGCACAAAAATCTGGGTGATGCTGGCGACTCACCTTTATTCCTATCGCCAAGGGGCTCCTTGGCATATTGCCCAATACGACAAGCCAGTGGAGCGAGTTTAAACAGTAGTGGTGAGAACTCTTTAAAAAAAAAGTTTTCAATATAAGAGAAGATAGACAAGTGGTTATTATTCAAATGGCCACCTCTTAGAATATTAGAGTTTAGGGCTATTTATCTGATAGAAGAAAACCTGCTATTAAAAAATTTGGTCGGTGCAAGGGACAGTTTAACTTCTGTTTCCAAGTGATTCTTTCGCAAAAATTTCTATTATTATTATTAATACAAAATGGAATCTAAGAAGAAAAGATGAACGCCATTTTTCTTCATTTCTTGCTTATGTCAACCTATAATGTGTTGTATCGGTGCTTTTTGGTTCAATTTGGTGTTATTCCAAAAGGAATTCGGCATGTCGATAGCATTGTTCTCTCAACAATAGGAGTTACAAGAAAAAGCTTTAATTAAACTGATGTCAAAACTGATCAAATTGATGCCCGTAATTAAACTGATGACTTAGTGCCAGCAGGTGAACTGATTGATAGAGTGCCAACGTCTGTCAAAATTTGGTGCGTTAAGCGAAAAGATGTTTTCCCAAATTATATCGAGAATGGCTCGGATTCATGATCGAACGATGCACCATGCTTCGTTTAGTGGCGATATTGCTGAACGAAAACAAAGAGAGAGTGGAATCGCTCAAGCATGAATAATTCAAATCTAAAATCCTGATGATACTGGTGGCTCATCAATATTCTATCGCCAAGTGATTCTTTGATAAAATTTAATCAACCCAATGGAACCAACTAATCGGCAAGCGATATTATAAAGAAAAATGTGTAAAGTATACATGTTCCTAAAATAGATTTGAGAGCCCTTGGAAGCTCTAATGATCATTTCAGAAAATTCTGGAGACCAAATAATTATACATATTATTGTAATATTATTGTAATAAAATAGCAGTCCAGAATAAATAGTAATATACGCAAAGATTTTTGATTATAAATGATTTTAATATAAATAGCCATTAGCTGCGACGCTATGGGAGTTACGAGGTTCTCACCAATTTTTATAAGCTTAAAATGGCACTAAAAATTAAAAAAAACTTTGGTGTTCAATTCAGAAGTCGTTGCAGAAATCGACTTATTTTCAAGTACCATAATTCTATGAGCTTTTTAAAGATTTTTTCAAATCTGTTTCTGAAGAATGGAACACTATTTATCACCGCGAACTTACCATGTGTGATTTTTTTTTAAAAAAAAAAAATCACATGAGCCATACAAATATCGAATTATTTTGAGTTTTTCCTAGAACTATGCAAAATTGTGCAAGAAAATTGAAAATATTTAATGTAAATTGCAAAAAAGTCCAATAAAATTTGATAAAGTTTAATAAAATTTCAATGAGAAATATTTGAGAAATTATTTAGAAAATTTTAAAATTTTCTTTTATAATTTAAATTTTTACTTTATTTTTGAATTTTACCTCTCTTTGAAATCGTTTAAAATTATTGTCGAAATCTTCATAATTTTGACTATAAGATTCAACTTCTTCCGAAAATTTTTCAAATAATTTTTTAATTTCTGTTTCAGTTTCGATAAGTTTTTGTTTTTTGGATACTTTCGATTCTTTTCTTTTATCACTTTCTTTATTAAATGATTTAGCATTTTCATAAACATCCATCTGAAAATTTTTTAATAAATTTTATAAATTTGCAAATCTAAAAAATTTTTATTAAATAAAAAATTTATAATTAAAAAATAAATAAAACGATTAAAATTTTTTAAAGCTTCAATCGCTTAAAATTAAAGATATATGAAAAAATTAAAAAATTTTTTAAAAATCAAAAATTTTTTTTGTCCATTATTCCATTATATTCACTGAAAATTATCGAATTTAATAATTTACCATGGCGAAATTATAAAATAATTGAAATTTCTACCGTATCTCTAACAGAAGGCACAAGTCGGACAAGGCTTTTTTTGTAGGGGTTCAGATTGCAGAATGTAATCGCTGGAAATTCCATTTGGTCGAATTTTAGCTAAAAATTTAATAAATTAAAAAACTTTTTTTTTAAATTGTCGAATTTTTCTAAAGATGTGGGAGGTGGGGTGAGGTGGGGGGGGGGGGGGGGGGGGGGGGGGGGGGCGAAGAGGTGAGGGGGAGTATGGAATGGCTCAGTACTATGACTCAGATGGTTATCGGATCACTAATGCTAGGAAATATATTGGTGTAAACCTTTCAAAAATCCGGATAATTTTATTCTCTATTTCTCTCGCCAAATGGTTTTATGGCAAAATTTATCTGGCCCGACAAGCTGAAGAAACTAAATACGGTGAGCATTTTTAGGAAAATGAAAAAATACTTATTCTACCAATAGTCTATTTTTGAAAAAAATTATAAAATTTATTCATTATAAAATTTATTTTGGTTTGGATACATGAAAGATTTAAATCGAGACAAATATAGTATTAACCTATATTAACCCTAAGCTATATGTATCAGCCAAATAATTCTTATGAATACTGTTTAAAAGAGCTAAAAATATTATTATTTTTAATATTATTTTTTTTAATGCATGATTTTTCGTCTGACTATTACGATGAGATTCTTCAGCCAAGTATGTTAATTAAGAGATATATTTGGGTTCTCAAATTCATTTTTAATGGTATTTAATCTCGAGAAGGAAAAATCGAACCCCGACAATCTCCCCTCATCTAAAATTACATATTACGAGAATCATTATGTAAATCACATCTGTTGAATTGTAACCATTCTTATACAATCAGTTTGTGGCGCATTTTGAGAGTTATTTTTCTTAATATTTTCATTGAAAAATAAAATTTATTGAGATATTATTAGTTTAAAATCGAATTGTCATAAAAATATTTCAAAAAAAAATTCATCAATAAAAAAATTATCAATGGAAATTTCACCTCAATATTAGTGATTTTTTCATATCGGTTAAATTTCATGAATAGATGATGAGCTTGTATAAGTAAAATAATAAAGCAAAATAATATGCCGGTGAGCCATAGCCTTGCAGCATATGCGTGTTGTGCAACAAAAACACGTCGTACACCATGTGCACTCGTATTTTCAGCAAAAATTCGAATTTTCTCGATAAGTGATTTGTGCCTTCTAACTGCCGAATAAATATGAGGTGTTGACGATTTGTTGCGTCTATTAATATAAACTGATTGCAACCTTGATGGATCAAGCGATTCCATTCTGAAAAATTTTATCATAATTTTTAATAGTATTTTTTAGCAGTAAGAGTCCTCACAATTACTGGTTAAATTCGCTGGCTTGTCGCATTGGGCAATATGCCAGAGAGCCCCTTGGCGATAGGAATAGGTGAGTCGCCAACATCACTCGCAATTTTTATCAATATTAGTTTCCATTTTTTAAAAATTATGAAAATGCTTTTAGTGATAAAAATGAAAATGCGAAATCTTTGAGAAATTATTGTATATCATGATGATTTGCATAGCCCATTGGCTAAAATGTTAAAGTTTGATAAATAAACAATGCATAAAAACTCGAGAAAATAAAAAATTTTGGAGTGCTCGAACAGATCAAGAAAATCCTGATCTGATCTTTGATAATCATTTGACAGATAATCAAAATAAAACCACATTACAGTAGCTATACGGCGAGCTTATTAACTTCTTCTTCTAAAGCATAATTTAAAATATTTCTGCCTTTGCTGTGCTCCTTTTTTTTGCGCCACAGAATCACAGGAGTGCGCGGCAATTACTCAGATCACATTTCATCTATCTGACGGGGAATCAGATCTAATCTGCCTGCCTACTCTTATATTCCTAGTCGGAGTAATATACGAATTGGGTAATTGAAATAAAATATATATAAAATTGGTAAAATATAAAGAATCGATCGAAAGTAGAAAGATTCGAAACAATTTATGTTATGAGCTTTATTTTTGTTGATGGAAATTCTGATGCTCCATTAGCAAATTTCATTTCATACGTATAAAAAAAATGCTTGGCTGCTCACCATATAATATTCGAAATTCATAGATAGAATCGCGTTGATTAAGCTTCATTTAGCAAGTTTATTTATAGATGGTCAGTTAGCAAACGCCAACAAATGTCTTTCCCAAGAATTAATCTCTTGAGGGCAGTAGTAAAAATATTCGGGGACCAACTTGCACTTCCACCTCTGGATGAAAAAAAAAATTTCATTCAAGCAGTGTAACAAAGTCGATGTAGTCCGCAAAATCAAAAACTATGAGCAGAAAAACTAGACAATCAGTCCTGATAAGCTTTTTCCTTAGTTGATAAATTATTATTAACTGAATATTCCACATAATATTCCATTCTTCTATTTATTTCGAAAGATATTTTTATTATCAGAGAATTTTAAAAAAATTATAAGCGAATTTAAAGTTCATCTCCAAATCAAAAAGAATCTAATTAATCCAACATTCTGATCAATTCTGATCAATCCTATCGCGCCATGAGAAATGTGGATTAAACTCTAGGAAAGCAAAATTCTACATTAAAATGACTAATTTTACAATACTTTTTAATAGTTTACAAATACTTTACAAATACTAAGGAATAAATGAATTCATGATTTTAATTTGCCCAAAATCACAGAAAATAAAAATATTTCTTGTAAGAAATTTCTAAGCCTAGAATAATATATTTTCTGGTTTTCCATTAAACATTCTATGGTGATAACGATGAAAAGGCGATAACGATAAAAATGCTAAAAAAATTTGAAACAAGATTTTATCAAAGCCAATTGAAATTTAAATAAAACATTTTCTAAGCCTCTATTTTTTAAGATAATAGCAATCATATTGACATTATTGCATGTGAATTATAAAAGAGGAAAAAAATGATAATTTTGCCAATTCTTACTTTTATTTATAGGAAGTTAAAGGAAGTTTAAAATCATTTTTATGATAATAACCACTTTGCAAAATGCAAAATGTTGTAACTTCTAAAATTTTCCTTATAAAATTTCTATTGGGAATATAAATAATTTAAAAGAAATTCAAAAGTGAGCCACGGCTTTGCCTGCCAAATTGAATTCTACCATTTTCATTAGGAGAATTACTATAATGCGCCCTTTGGACGTTAAAAAAAATGCTAAAATTTTTCTTGAATCGACGAGGATGCCATACATATTTTTTATCATATTAAATAAGAAAGAAGCAATTTCCTAACAGTTTCTGTTCTGTTCTAAAATAGAATGATTAAAAAATCTCCTTAGGTCTCTTAAGCAGATGATAACTGATATTGATAAATAGTCTGTGAATGTAGTGTAAAAGCAAAAAAATGTTTATAATCAACGGATGTACTATTTTCCAGCACGATTACTTTGATTATCCACTATTAATCCACTGATCCACTGATCAAATTGTATTTTAAAAAATAAGAAAAGCCTTTGAAAACTGCAAAAAATTAAAAATTTATTTATTATTAAAATTTTTATTATTATTTATTAAAATTTATTTAAAATTTAAAATTTTAAAATTTATTTTAAAAAATGCAAATAAAATGGAATAAAAAGAAAAATAAAAAATCTTGTTGACTTTCAAAAATCTGACTTTCAAAAATGATTGTATTTTGTTTTTTCCAATGAATATTTGATTACATTTATCCTTATAAAAAATTTCTTTTAGATGACGAAAAAGTTAAGATTTAGGACTTATAAATGTTTATCTTAACCGAAAAATAATAAAATAATAATAAAATAAGTCATGATTTCTGACTAGGCTTGGCCAGTGGACATTGATAGAATAAGATACCAATAGAATAGAAATAGAAGTTAACGGGATTAGAAGCTAGTCCTCACCACTATTTTTTTAACTGATCATATTAATTATCCAAAATAGAGATCGAATTTTGATACCCGATATGATAATTTGGGCAGCAATCACTAGGCCAGCCAACAATCACCAAAAGATGGCTAATTTAAAAGGATTATAAGCTATGCAATAGTCAAATTATTTACATCCTCATTAATAAAAGTTATTTAATCTGATGAAACGACTGGAATTAATCAACTCTATTTCTTAATATTTTATTATATACTTTCTTTTTTTTAAATAAATATTTTAATATATATGTATGATTTTTTTATTAAATATAAACGTAATTAATTCGGATAATTACTGATAATAATAATAATAATTTAATAATTATTAATAATCAAATACTATAATAACACTATAATAAATAAATATAATGATGATTTGATAAATAAATGTAATTAGTTAAAATCTACTACTAATAACAATTTAATGCAACTTATTAACTTATTTTTAAATTAAATAAAACAATTAAATAATCCTCAAATGTAACTTTAGGAAATCAGTTCTAATCCTTTGAAATATATTGATTGGATCGTTAGAAAACTATTTTTTATAATGATCTGCCCTATAGGGCTTGTAAAAAAATTTTAAAGCTCTTTTTCTCTCGTTTTTTTTTAAAAAAAAATATCGCCAATTGTTTAAATTGGGTATTAATGATAAGAAATAAAGTTAGAAAAGTACCATTTTTTGGAAAAATTAAGACAAAAACAAATTCTGCTCCGCTAGCTTCAAAGTTAAGAGTATCTAAACTACCAGATCCGACGGAATCGCTGACAGTAATTGAAAGCCATTCCTTTTTCCACCGTCTAAGTCCATATATCCACCTATATGTTCAAAATTTTTCTTGACCGGTTCAGGCCTTGATTGGCTGACTTTGCTTTTAATGACATTTATAAGTGATTAACGAAGTATATGTCAACTCCTGTGGTAGAACGAAGAATGTTTGACTGAATTGTTTAATCGATTATTTATCATTCTACCTACTAAAAGAAAAAAAACAAAGCTTGTTTAGCCGAAAATGGCCTAAATAAATTGTTATCATTAAAAAATTTTCGAAAGAGGACAATTTATAGATGAAAAATGAAAATTGCTGTTTATTTTTCTTATATATTTTATGCAATTTTATTAAAAGAAATTTTATTAAATTTAGAAAAATTATAAAATATTAAGTCATATTAAATTAAATAATAATAATTAAAAGAATATTTTTGGAAATATTTAATTTTCCTCGAAGATGATTCGTTCGAATTTGAGAATTTGATAAAATAATAAAATATTTTATCAGTTAATCTTTAATACAAAGCAACAACCATAGGTGGTGGTTGATACGTTTAAACGGACCCTTTTATTTTTATTTTCTTATTTTTAGAGAAAAATGGCTGAGAATAATTTAAATTTGTTGAAGTAAAATGTTAATCATATATTCTTTTTTTTCTTTCAATATATTTAGAAAATTTGTCAATCTAGCGGTGCAGCGGTGTCCGAGTGGTTAAGGAGTTTGATTAGAAATCAAATGGGCTCTGCCCGCACAGGTTCGAATCCTGTTCGCTGCGAACAGTTTTTGCTAATAATTCAATTCGTTGTTTCAACGATGAATGATTTCGTAGTGCGTTTGACATATCACCACTATGTCACCGTTTGGTGTCATTTTCGTTAAGAATGATATTTATTGCAAAAATGTTTGAGCAACGAGTATATATGGTCTGCTTGTGGGATAAGAGGCAAAATTCGATCCTTCCTCATTTTATGGAAAGATTTTGATTTCACCTCAGTTTAGCATATCTTAAGACTTAAATTCTTGGCTTAGTCATATCCATGAGGCATATTTATGCTATTTCGCAATATTTTGTTGAAAATCGCATTATTTCTGCCGAATTATCCGACATTTAGGCATTTAGACTGTAGTTCTCTAACACCGCTCAGTACCATTTATAGGTTAGCACTGAAATGGTTGGAGATTATGTAATGCGAGGTTAGAAAAGGCTTATACTATTTATATTATTTAAGGCTTTATACTATTTCGTTCGCTGCAGTGCAGTCATTCTTAAGGTTTCCGGTAGCTATTTCTCATTCACCAGTTTAATGTCATTCGTTAGATTCGTTAGTGAGACCTACTTTAATAGATTCAAGTTTCGCTGTTGGAAATAATTATTAGCATAATAAATACTTGTGATCTTCTTCTGTCTTCCTCATAATTCGAGGAATTTCATGGTTCAATATATCATCTTTTTATCACCTTTATCACCTTTTGATCACTTCATGGTTACATCTTCAATTTTCAGGAAATTTCTATACTTTTAAAATATCTATTTAGCTCGCAAATGCGTTCTCCTTTTAGCTTCACCAGCTTGATTTTTTTATCCAAAAATAATTTAAACTGCGGAGAAAAGTTCGTTTCACAAATAAGTCAATTCTTAGCAACTTGATTATGTCTACACACACAAAGAAAAATTCATTCCTAACTCCCTGTGGCAAGGGCTACCTCCAATCTCGGGTCCTCAGGACTAGAGGCCTAAAAACTTGAAAATTTTGTGTTCCTAGCAATGCGCTCTTCTGCATATAATTTCTCTAATGTTGTTTCTAAAATCTGTTGAAGCCACTTTTCCAATTTAAAAGTCGCAGTCCTTTATGCTCCAATTGGTCCACTTTGGTCTTCACTTTCTACATCATCTTTTCTTTCCTTTTCTGTCCTTGGTTTCTCTAATTTTCAGCTTCCTTCTTCCTAAAGTTCCTGTCATTACTGTTCCTGTCATATATGGACATGTATTAATTAAGGTTATCACAGTGATAAGTCGCAAATCTTAACAGATTTCAATGATTTCAATTTCCAGCCAAGGAACGAGAATCGATTAATAAATATTTCAATGCCTTCGTTATATTTCACCTTTGTTGACTCATAGAGAATTTTATGATCATTAATGAAATTTCATTTATAGTAGAATAATTTTATGTCATTTTTCACGATTTCGACGACATTTGAAATTCGTTTGTTCGAGTACATCTGGCATTGACTGATCTCTAGTTTCCGGTAATATAATATAACCAGCTACCAATGAACTTAAAAGAACTAGAGTAGTTATTGTAATTGAAGAATGTGGCCAAACTGATTGATTCATATTTATTAATTGTGGTCCAATTGCACCACCTATGCGTTCAATCACACCAAATGCACCAACTGCCAATGCCCTTATAACAGTTGGGTACAATTCTATAAATTGTTTAATTAATAGGAAATTATTATTATCTCTAAAGATTAAGAATCTAGAAACAAATTCGGCACTCTCTTTGGTACTTCTTCGCCAAAAATTTCGTGAAAGTGGATTTCAACTCATTAAAATTTCACTTTTCGATAATTTAATTGGAAAATTTTGTGAAAATTTAACCCATAACATATTGTTTATAGATAGTGAAGAAAATTGAACAATTTATAATTCCGCCAAATATAGCGAAACAAGTTTTTAATAGTTTTGTGGCATAATTTTGAGGTGAAAATGAAAGAATAAGAATCAACACATAGCATGCTAATGTTGCACCTGAAAAAATTACCCTTTTCAGTTCACATTTCAGTTCACGTTACCATGAATTAGGAAAGATACCTTGTGATGACATATATAAAACGCGTCTTCCAAACCAACTTGTATTAATTTCAAGCAAAATAATAAATAATGGTACCCAGATACGTAAAATACCATACAATGCGACATTTAAAAAAGGGTTACCAACAAGAATCTGCAATTAAGTTCCACTAAAAGATTTAAAATTATCAATCAGATCAACAATTTCTTAATCGATCGATTTCAAATTTTATAATAAATTCTTTACTATGCAAAAATATTAAAATGAACTAAATCCAGTGATAATATCTTTATCAGTGATAATCGATGATTTCACTTAGACAGCTATGACTTTCACTTCTACTTCGAAATATACAATTTTTACAACTTTCAATTTCCATTTTTTTAATGCAATGCAGTCTCTCAGAAAAGCAGCACTGTATTGAAAAAATGGGATGGAACTTAAAATTTAACATTTTTAGTTGAGAAAAGTTAATAAACAGTTTTTTACAAAGCACAATAACTCATATAGACAAAACAATAATCGAATTTTTAAATTAAAGGTTGGTAATGAAATTGAAGTGTACAGCTTTATGCTGATAAAATGCCTATTTTTGTAAATTCATTGCCGGCCGAAAAAGTGAACGATTTTAAATACCTTGGGTGCACTATAATAACAAATGGCCAGGCTAAAGACGATATTATAGCCCGAATCACGACAGCTAGAAATGCGTTCTTCCGGTTGACGAAACCTTTATGGAGCCGTCATGAAATTACCATTAAGATGAAAGTCCGCATCTATGATTCGTTCGATCTTGCTATATGGCTCTGAGACATAGCCAATGAGAGTGGAGGATATAGAGAAGTTATCTGTCTTTGATCACTTTTGTTTAAGGTACATTTTACGGGTTCGTCAAATGGATAAAATTTCGCATGATTGTGTCCACCTTCGTTCAAATACCACTTACATTTAAAATGTTGTTACAGAGCATCGCCTTCGACGGTTAGTGCACGTTCTCCGTCGTCCACCACAAGTATTGTGGCATATTTCGTTACTTGCTAAACCATGTGATGGATGGCGTCAAAAGCGAGGTGGACCAATTAAGGCCTGGACTGATACGATCAGGAAAGATTTTGAACGTATAGGTGGACCAGCAATATGTGGACTTAGACGATGGAAAAAGGAATGGCTGCTATTATCGAATAATTCTTTATAAGATTTTCTTGAAAAATGCAGTAAATTTTAAGAAATTTTATGAAAAATTACTTGAACATCGAATAATATAACAGCGACGCACATTTCAACAGTTAAGGCAGCAAGAAACATTACAAATGAATATTTTCTCATTTTTTCGTTTGCAAATAAAGCGCAAATTGATCCGCTAAAAATAAACTCAATAGGCCCATAACAGGCTCAATTGGCCCATAATTTTCCAAAAACTAATAAGTTACTCAGATTTTAGCAAATAAAATAATTACTTTTGGCTAACCTTTGCCTATTATCTACTTTAATATGCAGCAAATCCTCGTTTTTAATAATTATACTTGAATTATTCCACTGCGATATACGATTTATATTGTTTACTGCTTCACTATAACGTTTTTGCTGTATTAACCAACGAGGCGATTCAATCCAAAATAATAGTAAAATAAGTAAAGGTAAAGGCAGCGTATTTATAACCAATAAATATTTACGCCAACTGCCAGTCAAATAGGCACAAAGTGATGCGATCTAGAAAATTTCCAGGTTAAATTCCGTGTCTAACGATTCATTCATATAAAACATTTACTAATTTTATAACCTAAAAAAAAGGTACTTGTATAGTAAGGGACCATTGAAAAGCAAGATTTTGCACAATTCGATATTTAGCGCCAACAGTTTCGCAGGCGAGTGTCATACTTGCATCGAACATAATTCCATATGAGAAGCCCATTCCAAACATTGCTAGAGCCAACATAATCCAATTTATTGCTAATGAACCGCTAATGCCAAAAATGATCATTTGCAACATTCCAGAATAACTTACCCATTTTCTTAATAATGCTTGATAATTAAATTTTTTAGTGCTTTATTGCATGTATCTATTGTTGTTGATCTATGATAAACTTAACATAATCTATGATAATCTATGATAAACTGTGATTGATATTATCTCGAAGAAATTTATTTAAATAAAGCATTCTATGAAGCCTTTTCACTATCTGTTTGATCCATCTGCTGATTTGTGGCCTAAATCACCATTAGTCCACTGTGGTACTTCAAAATTTGCTCTGTAGTAGTTTTAGTAATTTTAAGGAATTCAAAGAATCGATGTCATATGATTTGCTCGAAGAAAGATATGTATGTGTGGGAAAAATCTATTTTCTTTCTTTTTACACTTTCTCTATGCATATTTCAGTTGCAAAATTATTATTAATTAATTTAAAACGAAGTTAGTTGTTTAAAATTTAATAGATGTGGAATTCTAAAAAAAAAAGCAGCGAAAATTGCTATTTGCTTATTTTGGTATTTTGATAAATTGCTATTTGCCAACAGAGATGAATGGTTTACCGGCCATAGCGATCGGCAATATGGCCAGCTGATAATGCTCCAATTGCTGAACCAATTGCTTGAATCGTTTGCAGATGATGAGGTAAATGCGAATTCGGACAAACTATTCCATCTTCTTCGTATAATGAGACAAAAAATCGTTCGGTCTCATTTGCCGGGCAATTCGATACTAAATCACAGACATCCTTCATCTAAATTGAAACATTAAGAGTAAAATTCGCACTAAATTTTGGTTTAACTGCTTTATTATTGTTTTATGGCGTCGCTAAATAGGTAAGGGATGTTCTTCATCGCCAAATACAAGAGTTTGCACATATTTCGTTACTTGCTAAGGTTGGCATCAAAAGCGAGATAGGCCAATTAAGAGTATGAAAATTTTTGAACATATAGGGGGATCAGCGATATATTAGGCTTAGATGATGGAAAAAGAAATGGCTTCTAATATTGTTAGCGATGGTTACTCAATTTTTTAAGCAACTAACCTGTGAACTTCTTTCATCATAGCAAATCGGTGATAATGAAGCAAATGAAATGAAAACATAGTTTCCAGCAGCATTCACCATTGCATACTGAATAGTGAGGAGAACAAAAAACTGGTACCATCCGTACTGGGATGTAAGATCAAAAATTTCATCAACATTTTTTATAAATTTTTGTTTTTGCTTAATAGGAAAATCGCCATAGTTTAAATCCATTGTTGTAGGAAATGTTAGTAAATTAGGTGATAATTCGGAATTTGAAGAAACCGCTGAAATGGAAGAATCCGATCGATCTGAATCCATTGCATTCCTCTCATTATCCTCAAAGCAATACTTCAGTTTAAATCTCGGGATAGGCAATGAATTAAATATTTTTTAATATTAAATATTATTAAATATTTTTATTTAATATTTAATATTTAAATAAATATTAAATAGTTTTTTTTTTTTTTTAATGAGAAGTGCAAAATTATCTGCGAAATATTGCAGTAATAGTATTTCAAAGAATATTCATGTAAAAATAATCACCATTGTTGGAGACAGAATGGCAATGAAGGATAAGAAAGCCGAATTGAAAGAGGTCGAAAATCTCTTGAAAATTTTTATTGAAATTGAAATTGATGAAGAAGAATGAGCCTTTCCGTATCTTAAAATATAGATTAGTTAATCTATTTTTTAAGTGTCCTCTCCATAATTGGTTAGACTCGTTCCGCTGGCTTGTCGCACTAGACAAATCTCTTTCAATGAATCTCTTGATGATAAAAATACAGGTAAGTCACTAGTAATTTTTGGACAAATTTGTTTTAGATAATAGTAGAACACCATTGTCGGCTCTTCGAGTTTATCAACAACCCGCTGAGCCAATCAAAGCCCAATCTTAGAAAGATCTGGAATCTATTTATATGAGAACCATAATTGATCTACGCTGCCCGCAAAGTCCTTAATCGGTTATGCGATCCACACCAACGTTATTCAGTGAGGGAATGTTGTGGTAATAAGAGAGAGAATGCATGAAATGTTCAAAAAAAGGAGGAAATAAAAATGATGTACAGGACTCGTCTTTCATTTCTCGTTGTCCCATCTTGCTGGGATTAAGATAACAAATATCAGAAAAAATTGGCGGATATTGCTGTAGAACTATAAATAATAATAATGTGTAATTCTTTATAATCTTTATATCAGAAGGAAATCCAGAAAAATTCAAATCTTTTATTTTCAAAATTTTGGCCAAATCTCGTTAAATGTTTCAATAAAACTCGTTCAACGCTAATAGGTGCAAATAAAAATATTTGAGAATACAGAAAATCAATATAAAAATAAAAATAATAAAAATAATTGAAATTTACTTGAGAATTTTTTGCTATTACATAGTTTACATAGTTTTAGGATTTTAATTTCCATATGAAATAAAATAAATGCTAAAAAATTTTATGAAATTTCGTTAAAAACTTCACAATCGTTGAAATTTAGAAAGAAAATTTCAAATTTTCATGCATTACATGAAAGATTTTTTTAAAAGGAAAACCACCAATACCTATAGCTTTAAAAAAAATGACAAAAATTAAGAAAAAATTTTTATAAGCTTAGGCTTAGGCCTAAAAACTTCGACAAGAAGAAGGTTAAACATATAATATTTTATATAATATTTTCCATTTTAATTTCATAAATAAATATTTTATTTAAAAGTTTTAATTGTATTCACGTGGAATAATTTTTTAAATTATTATAATTTACTGGTTAAAATTGAAAATTTACTGGAAAACAATTTTTCATAAACTTCTTTTATTTACATTAATTTTCGTTTAATTTCATCATAAAGGAAGATTTATTAGATTTAAAGGAAGATTTAAGAAAAATTTTTATAGGCTTAAAATAGACTCGTTGCTCGAAAATTAAAAACCAGGCGACCTCATATGGAGCCAAATGGTGAGTTTAATTCACTTTAGTGAGTTTAGAGAGTGAATTTAATGGTGAGTTTACTTTTTATGAATTAAAGCGATAAGCTATTTGTTTTGCAAAAAATAAATTGTACTTACAAGGTCATAGTGCCAAGGCAATTGCATTCCATTAGTAAAAAAAGAAGGTATAATTTTATTTTAATTAAAATAATAAAAATAGTTAAAATCATATATTAGGGAATAGAATGGCTGAGTGGGATGCTGAGTGTTGAGGTGATGTTCAAATTCCGCTTCCCGCAGGAATAAACCTGCCCAAAAATTGGCATGATGCTGGCGATTCATCTATACTTCTATTGCTAAAGTATTCCCTGGCATATAGTGCGAAAGCCAGTGGAATGAATCAAACCAGCAATGGTAGAAACTCCTTAAAAATAGAAATTAAAATCACCGCATTGCACCGCAATAAATGGGTGTATAATAGAAAATCGCTTCCGCAGATTTATAAATTTTAATGAAGTTTTATTGAATTCAACATGAAAAAAATTATTATTCATTTATTTTTGCAAAATTTATAGAATATTTTTTTGTTTATTTTAATTAAATTAACAAAAATTTTATTTTAAAATTCATTTTCGATTTTATTCAAGCATAACCGTTGTTGAACAAGTATTTATTCATCTAATTATAAATTTAAAAATATTAGCAATTCTAATTGAGACTACACTTCATTCGATTTTTTTCTACAATTTTAATTAAGGAATCAGCAAGTCAGTTAACCTGCGATATTACTTGGATCATAAATTAAGGCCCTACGGCTACGATTCTTCTCCTATCGTTTCTGGTTTCACTTGCTATACTGTTTACTACTAGAGTGTCATTATTTTAATAGATGGGGAAAGAAGCATAGTGATGGGTCACCAACATCACACCTCTTTTAATGATAATTTTATTCTTATCAGTGAGAAGAAATGGAACTTTTGAGTTCTCATTGCAGAACTCATTCAAAGGAAAAAGATACGACTCAATACAATTATAGCCTTAATTATTTTATAAGTTTTATTTTAAAACCATAGAATAGTTTTCACTGCACAGTGAGTATTCTATACGATATAATAAAAAGAGAATTTCTAATCGATCTGGTCTTATTAATCGGAATATTTTTATGTTAGCCTAGGCCAGCCTTGCGTGCTCGTCATTTCATAATCTAAGCATTTCAAAAATTTTGTTGGGTTTTTTGGATATTTTTTGATAGACTTATGATGGGAACTAACTTTTGTTTTCAGCTATCCATAACTTAAAAGCAAAAAAAAACTATTAATTTCAGATTTAAAAAAATGAAAAAAATCAGAGCGAATGAATTAGTAAAATACATAAAAATAATAACACAACAAAATTGAAAGAAATGAAGCAAAAATTCACGATTTTCATATAAAAAATTTCGTGGAAAATGAGAAAAAAAGTTCTTTTAAAAAAGATTTTTAATTTTAATGAAAGTAAAATGGTGAATGGTGAATTTTGATTTGCGTTTAAGCAAATTCATGCATGAAATATTCTTGAATAAATGGGTGACAATAAAATTATTTTGCAACCAGTTGCATCATATCATATCATAAATCATTTAAACATGCTTGTCACCAGTAATTCGCCTTTTAGTTTATTGAACTTGTTCGTCGCTTTTTAATTCATTCATTTAAAAATGGTATTTTAAAAATATTAAACCTTTTTTTCTAAAATTCCAAAACTTTTATGGTTATTCTAATCGATGAAACTAATTGGCATTTTCAAATTTTAAATTTTGTCATATTATTTAGGGTAATGAAATCATGAAAAAAAATTTATTTATTGGCCATGCCGACTTTTTCGAAGAAGAGTCGTTCACTTATTTCATTAATACTATATCAATAATACTCCTTCATCCAACAGAATCCTATCTAGTTTCAGTGACTATAGTGACTATGGTTTCTAAAGCAAACAAAACACCTTCGCGAGAAAATTGCTTAAGTGACCACTTTCTTAAATGACCATTTTATTCCAAGAGAATTGAATTGAATTGAATTCGCCTTTAGTTCAAACCATAAATACCACTCGCTTAACCTATCTCCCATCCACTAAGGAAGTTATAAAAATAAAGGCAAAAAGGCAAATTTATTCACTAGATTAATGATATAATTTTAATGAACAAGTTATAAGCTAATAAAAAATTTCATTCTCACTTCCTGTGGATGGTCATGAACTGCTTTCTGCCAGAGCCCTGGGAGACTGAGGGTTCTGCACGGTATCTTAGTTGTTTCTAACAGTGCGAGATAGAGATCTCTGATGTCGTTCCTGGAATATGCTGAAGCCATTTTTCTAGTTTAAGGGTCTGATCCAAGTGCTCCAATCATCACTGGAATTACTTTGGTCTTTGCTTTCCACATCATCTATAGTTACTTGTTATTATTAACGTCTCGTATTTCTAATATAAAATATAACATAAATGAAATAAAATAAAGAAACAATAATTATGAATTTGGAGAACAATAGATTTTGACGATGAGAACGCAGTGTTTCGGCAGATTTAAAATTCGTTAATAATTCGGTGAATAATTCAAATAATCACATGGATGGGTTTTAATTCGTAGAATAAATTTATTATTTACAAAAAAAATTTTATGGTGTCATTTTGTATCATATTAATTCAAAAATTCATCGTTAATACCACATCATTTTTCATTCATTCACCATTTTTCGTTCGATTCGTTCCATTAATTAATAAGAACACAAATTTTTTAACAGAGAGTCAGTTATTTAGGAAAAGAGCTATGGGTGTTTAACATTATCACCATTAGCCAATTTTAATGATAAGTTTCAAAACTACAAAATTATGCGATGATTCAAATATTGTAAAGCCAGCAAACTTTAAAAATATTTCCAATATTTAATATTTCTAAGATTTATATTTCGTGGCAGAATGAAATTCGGATGACTGTTAAAGAAAAAACCTATAGTTAAATAAACGAAATTCCTATTTTGGATACTATAAAAGACGATTTGAAAAAATTTTGATTTTATTCGTTACTTCTTCAAAGGCTTAAATTAGAATTGAGAAGTGATAAAATTGATAAATCTTTTTTTTATAGTAACTTATTCCCTTTTAAAATTGCTGTGTCATTCTTACTGTTCATTTTAGTATAAATTTTTCAATCTCGATTATATTGTATTGGTGCGATTTAGGAATTTTATAGATTGAGATTGAAAATCAGCTGGAACCTTGTCGAATCTTTTTAAGAGTAAATGCTATCATCGGCAAAGAATTTGATTTCTGCTGAAAAAAAAGTGAATAGGTCAAAATTTAGTAAATAAAGCAACAAAGAGAGAAGATTGCAATAAAGCAATCTTCTTCTAACTCACCATTACTGGTTAGGTTGGCGCCGCTTGTTACAAGGGTAAGATGTTTCCAAGCTGTTCGGTATGACACCGAAAACCATCCCCTCTTAGAGTTTTATTGGCCTTAACTTCCTGGATGTCAGAGATTATTTCTTTTTTTAGCAATTGACAGTTGCAAACGTATGGCTCGACGAGCGAATTAACTGTATGGTGCTTTGTGGTTAAGTTTGGCCCCAAAAAATTCTTCTCATCTTATATGGCGATTATTAATAGCCTTAGCAGGCGCATCATTAATCCCGTATCATTTCATTGACTCCTTCTCAAGTTATAGTTGCTTTGTGAAGGCGAAATAGTTTCCTATTATCATCTAACCGAGCTGCGGCCCTTTAATTCTCAAGGATGTATCGCTCCACTGTGCTATTGTCATTATAATTTTTCGATGCACCAGATAGTTAGGCATTCTAACATTCTGATTTTGGAAGCATTTTTAGGCAGTTGGACAGTTGCTTCCGACACCCAACTAACGCATTTTCTACTAGTATACCTTAGTATGGAAGTGGCTGACTTTTATAAGCATGTCTTTAGTTCGGACCAGCATTCATTCGCCGTTCCAGAGATATTCATTTCACTAAGGGATTTCAATAATAATGGTTTGAAATGCTCCTGTTATTCTCATGTTATTCTCGTTATAGTTGAAAGATCTTGGGATGACTTGTCAGTTTTATATTCTTGGTTCTAACCATAGCATGGTCTGATCCATGGCGATACCATTTCCAGCACCCTGATAAGAACGACTATCAAGTACAGAACTCTTCAAGCGGCAACCGACCAATATATAACCAATATGATTGCAATATTGGTTATCAGAAGAATTCCACATGACTAGATGTCTTCTCGTATGCCTGAAGCATGTAACAAAGATGCTGCTCGGCAATCGAAGAATGCGCTATCCATTGGCGCATTGGGCTCCAATGCCATATTTGTCAATTATTAAGGGCACGTGACCAACGCATGCATTCACGACTATAAGCATGTCACCTCTCGATAGAGATGTTATTAATAGGTGAAGTTCCACATAAAATTCTTGATCATCTGCACGTAAGCGTGCAGATCATGCAGATCGTTTACTGGCTTTCACGAAAACAAGATTCGTAGTTTCAACAGCCATGAAAACAAGTAGAAAACGAGTTAAAACGGGTTGGTGTACATTAAGAAAAATAATTGGAATAATGATAAACCTTAGTGAACTTTTGTTCGGAAATCGTTGGAAGACCATATAACGTTTTCACCTAAATTATGAAATTTCCTAGAAAATATTTTTTAAATTATCGTAAAAACAATGGAAAGTAGAATGGTTCAATGGGTTGCTGCTCATTTTAGAACGTCGATGCTAAGATTCCATTTCCTGCTTGAGTAAACCTATCTAAAAATCTGGACGATAATGGCGACTGGTGGTACTTCTATCGCCAAGGCACTCCTTGGCATATTTATTTACTATTCTAGCTGAGCTAACCAACAATGAGGATTCTTTTAAAAAAAAATGGAAAATGGGAATCAAACTTCATTTTACTTTAAAATTCATTGTATTCATGTTTAAATTCATGTTTTTGGCCTATTTTATCATATTACCTATAAAATTTTAGTTTCATTGTTACACTGACTACTAGGATGTCGGCAATGCCATGCGGAAGACATACCAGTGCAGTGAAATTATGGCTATTTCCTTACCTCATTGGTCTGCTTCTGCTTAGAAATTTTGAGGCTATTTTTACTTTTAGTATCAAAAATTCCGATCTGAAATAAAATAATCATAGCGCTTAGAAGTTCTTTTAGTTATCTTATCTTATCTCGTCATCAAACAATACTCAATAGTTTGGCTAACACTTGTCGCTGTTTCCCTTTATCACAAAATCTTTTGTAGAGAAGAATAAAAATATTCACCTGAACTTCTCTTTTAAGTAAAAGGAGAGGAACTGAACCACTAACATTCGGCCTTAGCCAATGTAGCACGACAATGCAAAACATTGCAATCTTATGATAAAATTAAATTATGATAAAATTAAATAAAATTGAACCAACCCTCTCATATCCATTTTGATCTGGTATGGCTAGACTGATATCTCTTGGATGATCTCTTCTGTAAAAGCTATAGCTAGCCAGATTCCTAGGAGGACATGAACAGTACCTATAAAATTTATGCCTTCAACATTTGGAAAAAAAAACAATAGATTTAAATCAATTCTTATAAGCTATAAAGAATTTAAAAATTAAAATTCCCCCTTTAAATACCATTTAAAAAAGTATAAAAGATAAAAAAATACGCAGCATCAATTCCAGGAAGACCTGGTTCACCAACTGAACCACTTGGTCCTGGATCGCCATCATCTCCAGGCTCTCCAGGTGGACCAATGGAGCCTTCCAATCCGCCTCGTACGATTCCAGGTATTCCATTTCTCCCTGGCAATCCGGGTGGGCCTTGTGGTCCTGGAGGTCCTGGTGAACCTGTTTCAAATAAGTTGATAAAAAAACTGACTAAAATTCCGTTTAAAATATAAATTTTGGTGCAAGGAAATTTTTGTTACTTGCTCGATACAAATAAATAAATGATTAACCTACAAAATAAAAGTTTTAGGAATAGGAAAATATTCATATGCAAGGATTGATCCACTCAAATATCTAACCTGGGATACCAATGCCACTGATTACATCTTCACCTGGTGCGCCTCGTGTTCCTGGCAATCCTGGTGAACCTCTAGGTCCTTCATCACCCGGTGGTCCACGTTCATAATTATCTATTCCAGGGGTTCCAGGATCGCCTGGCATTCCTTTATCACCTTTGGCTCCCTTAATATTCTATTCTCTTTTACCAAAATTTAAGATTTCAGATCATAAATTTAAGATTATAAATTACAAAGAGCTAACTCTAACCTGCGGTCCCATCGGACCAGGTGGTCCAGGTGGACCTTGTTTTCCTGCTGGGCAAATTATACATTCATCATCTTGCTCATATGCATCCGCTCCAGGAAGCCCATCAACGCCATCCTCACCATCGGTGCCATCTAATCCATCTAATCCTGAAAATTTATTTATATAAATATCTTTTCAAACTTTCCGAAATGAACTGAGTATTTAAAAATCTAACCTGGAGCACCAGGTTTGCCTATGCATGATTCTTGATCAATTTTTACTGTATAATCGGTTTCAATATGGCCAAAAGGAATGTGGGAAGGTGCCATGATGCCCGACGACCATCCACTATTTCTGCTTTTTATATATCCTCCTTTAATTCTTACTCGGTCACCGCCATTAGGGCCCGTCCTCAATGGTCTATATATGTAATTGGGCCCATATTTATGGGCTATACGGCGATTCGTATAATCGCGTTCTCTTTTGTGGTCCAGTATCGATAAAAGTTCTATAATCAAAATAAATCAAGAGCAAACCTATACGATAGAAATTTTCCCATATTTTCCTCTTAGAAGGGGTTCTAATTTAGATGGTTGAAATTTTTGTGAAATATTTTCACCTGAAAAATTATTGTAAAAGTTTTGGAAAGGCAATCATTTAGATATTTTCTTTTTGGATAAGCAGAGTTTGAATAAATTTGTTTCATTTTGAGGAATTGAAGCAAGATTCGGTCCGATTCTTACCTTTAGATAGAAGTAGACTAACGATTAGAAATAATCTCAAGTGGGTGCGTACGAAATAGATACATCTCTATCCTCAAATGAACTTAAAGATCCTAGATTTAATAGTTAGGAATTGTCATGACAACAGCGAATAAGAGGTGAAATCAGATGAAAAGGAAAAAATATTAGTTACGGAAGAATCAAAAGTGTTTTTTTTTCAGTTACTAGTTTAGTTTAATAATAAAAAATTACTTTTATCATTAATAAATTAACTATTAAAACTAATCTTATTCATCACCTTACAAAAAAAAAATATTAATCTACCATCATAATCGTGAATATTTTCATTGTTTCCAGTTAGATCATCGAAGGCTTTCCACTGAATTTCTTGATAAGGAAATGGAATATAGCCTTCAGGCGGTTGATCATCTAAAATTGCAATAGCTTCAATATCTTCTCATTCTGAATTTATTTCTACTTGTTTGGATAAAATTTTAGGCTTTCTTCAATACTGATTTTTTTTACCAAACCAATCTTAAATTTTAAACTTAGAAAAATTACCTGTTAAAGCAGCGGCGCTAATTTTCACTATATTGAATTGTGATTGAAGTTCCACAATATCCTCCTCAACCTTTTCAGATAATTCCTTCAAAAAATTAGACTTTTGAAAAATCTTCAATTTACAGTTTACAAAAAGTATTGAAAGTCAGTTTATGCTGAACAAACTGAATTTGCTATTAAATCACCAGTATTTCGACCGATTCTTTATTTTATAACCTATGATCATTCTTATTGCTAACCAATTATGATTTTGTCAAAATTCAGCTATGCACATACAAATTATTTTTTTTATTTTTAAGTTTGATAAATCTACAACACCCCTTTCTTAATTCAAAAAGATTTCATCTAAATAAAAGGGACTCAGGCACTTCAATAAATTATACGAACTGCCTCAGGCACTAACCTTAATTATTTTAAATTCATTGATAGTATTAGTTTGCAACTCATTTAATTTATTAATAAATATCGGTAATGACGTAAAACTGAGTACAATAGATATTGCGCTCAATGATATCGCAATTATTCCATAAATTTGATCAACCGTGACTGAAAATATTTTACTTTAAATTTAAATGGTGCTCGATTTATGCAAATATCTATAATATTTCTTTAAAATTTAGCTAAAATTAAGAGAATCTTCTTAAATAAATTTGGTTTTGGTTTAATAGTGAAATTTCAAGGTTATTTTTCATTCGAATATGAATATGAAATTTGTAATCGTTGGCAGTTTTTTATAATTAAAAAAACTTCTAAAATCTTCTCTTCAGGATTATTGGGTAGCACGCAAGTACGGTTTTTGAGCAATTTTTCTCCTTGTCCTTTCAAGGAATATAAACATATAAGAATGGAAGAATGAATGGAATGTGGTATTTTTTGTTGTATTAAGAAAAAGAAACAATGCGATATCTTTTGCTATATTATTAAAATAACTTTGTTTTATTATCGGATTATTCGAGTTAGTAGATTGTTCATAAACGGATGACAATGACGCTGACCGAGAAGAAATCGACAACATCTGAAACAGGCTTTTTTTAATTATTTGTTTAATTATTTTATTATTAATTATTATTTAATTATTTTAATTATTTATATTTTATTTATTTATTTATGTATTTTATTTACTAAGATCTTTGTATATAAGACGCCACAGTTACCATGCAAGCAAGGAGTTTGAGCAGTTTTACTCCTTCTTTGCTGGGAAAAACTAACCAAGTTTACCCAAGTTTAACTGCAAATCCAATATGATCTCATTTAAGCGAATAAAATAGCCTCAAAATTATCAAATTTATCAAGTTTATGCGTTATTCAAAAACGATCTCAATGTATTAAAAAAATCCTATTGAAAAGAATAAATGAAAAGTGATATAGGCAATAAGAAGAAATTTCCATGAAATAAATTTAGGTCGTATGGGATAGAAAAGATTGAGGCAAATAGGTCAAATAAATTAGGTACAAGAGGCTCTTAAAATTATAACCACCATTTTCTTAGTAATTTTTTTCCACTTAGCTGGATATTTTTGTAAATTTTTTATAAATATCGGTTAATGGATTAATTTTGGTGAAGGGTAAATGAAGGACTGTTGCTGATTGGTTGCTGATTAATACAGTTAGAAATTATTGCCACTTAGCTATACTCTTAGAGGTGATGGCCGGCGCCTCAGCATCAAGGCTTTTTTGATAATATGTCTACTCATATTGGAACAGGAGATCTTACCTCTCAATACGACAATTTGAACCATCTTCCTTAAGTGTCTCATTTCAAAGTTGACACTGAAAATCATAATTTTCTATTAAAAATATATTTTAAAATTAAGTAAAAAATGGAAAATGATTTATCAAAAATCGAAAAAAACCTAATATATGATATTGGGAAAATGTTATAAGACTCTGAAAAATAGTGAGCTTAAAAATAATTTTGAGAAAACGAAAAATAAAAAATTTTAAGAATCGACTTATGTCGGAATAAGTCTGTCTGCGCTTCTTCTATCGCCAAATGACTTTCTAACAAAGTGGTTTTATCTCAATAAACAGATTTGCAGCCTGAAATAAACCAGAAATGACGAATTCTGTTAGATCGATTTAGGTCAATCACCAATAAGTTTTTGTATAAAATTAGTAATCGCAAACTGCGACTCTTCACTTAAATGTGTCGTCTATCTTTAAGCAATGAGTGTTTCATCTTTTTGTTCTACTGGTACTCCTCTTCATATAAAAATTATTTCAATGGCAGTAATTTGAAAAGATTAGGTCCTTCAAATAAATTTCGGAATAAAATAATTTTTATTTAGGTGATTGGAACGATGACGCAAATTTATGAAAATTTTCATGCATGAATAATGAATTTGCAAATAAGAAATGTTAATGCCATTTATTTCTATGAAATTATTTCTACTTTTTTATTGAAATAATTCTTTTACCGAAATATTTATTATTTCGAAAAATTAGTTTTCCGAATAATTAAATAAGGTAAAAATAAATTTTATGGTCTTTTTAAAATTCATATCTTTTCTAAAATTTATCTAAAAATTTTGATTCTGAAATTTAAATTTTCTTTTCTAATTTCATTTAAAATTTAAAAAAAAGAGAATTTATTTTATTATAGTTTAGTCGAATATTCGACGAAAAATTAAAAGTGCCTGAGGCGCATTCGTTTTTTCCTTTTCCATAATATTTGTTAAATACATTAGCATATTATCTAAAACAGCGATGGCATGGCTCAATGGGTTGTTGTTCAATTCGGAGAGCTGATGCTGAGGTTTTATTCCCCGCAGAAGTAGGCCTGTTCAAAAATCCGAGTGATGCTGGCGACTTACCTGTACTTCTATCGCCAAGGGACTCCCTGACATATTTGTCCAATGCAACAAGCCAGCAGAGCAAGTTCAACTAGTAACGGCTACTTTTTAAAAAAAAATTAGCGTAAAATTAGGCGTTTATTTTATCGATAATTTGTTCTCATTCTCATTTATTTGCGACTAATTTAGATTTTTTAAAATGGAAGAAATTTATTCGCCTTTTTTATAATTAAAATTTTCCACTATATCTTTTACCTTAATCTTCTTATAATCTTTCGAAAACGGATGGTCGTGCAAATCACCTTTCTGGAGATTAGCGTCAAACATTAACGTTAAAAGCACAATAATCTTTAGGGGATATTTCTGTACATTATATTTTCAATATATAATCCCCAATATCTATATTTTTCACTAATTTTTATTTTATATATATATTATTTGTACATATTATTTTTTTTTATTATAATATAATTAATTATAATGGAAAAGTTTCTTTGCAGTATCAACGGGATTTTGAAGTATATTTGCGATCGTACAATTGGTACTTAATGTTGACATTAAGACGAAATAATCCATATAGCGTGGAAAAACTTTCAACGAACATTTTTTGTATTCATGAAAATGACGAATGGGAGCATTCTCCGCTAATTTATTTGATTTTAGGCGATGAAAAAGGTTGATTGTTATTACTCGACAAAAATTACAAATAAAGCACTAAAACTATCTTAAATTTAGCACTAAAAAGATGTAAAAGATCCTTTAGTCCTTCTCTGGAGAACTTCGAGTTCTGTGCTACCAAACTATAGAACTGTGAATAAAGCTAAGTTATCTGCCCATTCCTTTTTCTCATGTTCCCATTTTAATACTACTTTTTACCATTTTTTGTAATGTTTATAATTTTAAAACCATTTTTTTCTATTTATTTCAACCTCGTTGGTTAAGTCATTAAATTTTAGCTTTGGTCATCGATACGGGTTGTGGTACTGGTGACCTTCATCAGTATATACGCTCATCAGGAATAATGAAGTCATCTCACAAAATTATTGTTGTTAACACTCATAATCATCCAGACCAAGTGATTTCAGATTTTTTAATTTCTCTTTTCCCTTAAACCCTTAAAATTTCTCTCTCATTCCTCATGTATTCATATATTTACATATTTTTCTCATTCATTCATTTATTTTATTATTTTCATTTTGCTGAATTAACTTTTGCTTTCATAAAATTCTAATTTCTCGCAAAAATATCGATGATCTACTAAGTATTCTATACTTAATACTTTATTATTTTTCGACGGGAAGTAACTGGAGTTTCTCAGCGTTGGGAAAATTGGGATTATCGCACAATGTTGAAAGCCTTTGTGCATCTTCTCGTAATAAACAGTATACTGAATTGCATAGTGCTGAATTCGATTGGCAGGTTCCATATTAAAGCCATTGAAAAATATTCCTCATTTACTCAATATTAAACAATTAACTAACAAATTAATACAAATATTTATTAATATAATAACAATTAAATAATAATTATTCCCTCTGATTTCCTCACGATTTCAACTAGGCTAAATGACTATTGGAAATGATCAATAAAGGACTTATATCTTATTATTATTATTCTAAAATCAATCGTCAGTTGTAGTTTAATAAGCTGCTCTGTAAAGGTTTAAGGCATGCTTGTAATAATACATCAGGCTTTAAATTAATTTTATGCATTATTTTATGTAAAATTTTATCAAATTTAGGTAAAACCATATAAAATAACGCGTTGGCTAAATGATTGCGAGATGATATATCTCGGAAAGGAAAATGAGGCGAAAAATGTGGTGAAAATTATACATACACCAGGACACACGCCTGATTCATTAACAATATGGTTCGTCGTTCGTCATAAATTTTGCTAATTTGTTTACAGTAGGAAATAAATTTGTATCCTTTATTATCAAGATAAATTTAACAGAATATTCTGGATTTTCAGCTTATCACAGTAAATATCTTCTTAGTAAAATTTTCTGGCAAAAAAAGGATCAAATAGTTTGAAAACAAATGAAAAAATAGCTTTTGAAATATTAGAAATCTAAGCTGTCGGAAATCCTAAATATGAAATTTATGAAAAAAAGGCATTAATCGATAAGAAAAATTATTGAAAACCACTTTAAAAGTAAATTATTTTCCGGTACCAAGCCGATAATCGCTTATTTATTGGCGATTTATACTATCAGTTTAACGATCTGCAATTAAAGTAAGCCAAAATTCCTTTTTCTCGCGATAAGAAGCCACAATAAACTAAATTCGTTATCGCTATGAGAAAAAAAAATTTGAATAATTTATTTATGCCGAAATTCATTATAATGAAATAATTTGTTTTTAAATATCGTAATAAATGCAAGAAAAAGGTCAAAATAGCAAAATCATAAAGGAAATTTAAAATATAAGTTAATCACTTTTATCATCAATCTATTCAGCGATTATTTCATCACCCTATCAATAATAAAATGATATTTTTATCAAATTCATAGATACACTAAAAAAAAATTGCAGCAATAATTGGAATAGCAGCATCAAAGAAACAGAATTATCTTTAAGAGTTTTATTATCAATGATAATGAATTATTGCCAAACTCAAGGAGTTGATAAGCGGCAGGTCTGATACATATATTCCAGAAAATTCTTTTAAACTATGAGCAAGCATCTATGTTAAATTATTTGTTTTAAATCATGTCTATGTCTAAGTACGAATGCATTTTGCTCTTATCTTCCAAGATCATAAATAAAATAGTATAATAAATGGTTGCAACTATTATAGTAGTAATAGCTATGAAAGTTATGAAATTGCCAAATATTTGAATGATCTATCAGATAAGGTTTACAATCGTTTTAGATAAGGTATAGCGCAGCCAAAATTGACTCCGATGGCGCCTTTCTACCGGATTTTGAGGAATATCATCGTTTTTTTTTATTGGTGATCGCAGGTGTGCAACGCACCTTACCTCTAAAGAATAACGAATATCATTGCCGACGATATGAATCAAGAGACAAAAGTAAGAAGTAAACCGCTAGTCTCGTAAAAATTTTATAGTTTCCTAAATAAATCAACTAAAATCCCCCCTATCTTAACTTTATAATTTTTACAATTTTCATATTTCTCTTTTATTGAAAGTTTTCTAAAAGTGAGAAAACTTAAATATTATGAATATAAGTTGATCGATGGAAATTAATTGTCATTTCTGAAAAATAGCCATTTTACCATTTACTTCAATTGTTAGTTTCCTTTTCTTTTGCACATGCGACATAAATGGTTGCAACAAAATTTGTGATCATAGTTATAAATAAAAAAAAATATTTGCAATTTGAGGACTCGCTGAATCAGTGGTATGTTCCCACTGGAAACCAAGCTGTATCGGCTCGATTCTTGCCTTTTGGCAATGATAATGATAATTATCATCTAAATCAGTGGTGGTCTGCGTACTTTTCATTAAATGGCTTTAAAGAATTCCATTTAAATGATAACTGGAGACGCTACATAGCTAAAATGGCATCAATGGAAGAATATTTTCAATCCATAGATATATTAAAAAATAACTGATCACTGTTTTCTTGCATCGAAACTTTTATCAGTAAATTTTTTAAAACAAAAATTTAGTTCATTTTATTTAATTCAACTATTTTAGAGATAAAACTTATCATATCCGAACAACTAGCAATTCAACTCGATAAAGCAAGAGGATCTGCTTTAAATCAATGATGGACAATTTTCTTCTGCTAACGATACAATTCGCTAATTTATCTTCATATTTTTCCATTCTTTAGATAATCCAAATCCTAATCCTTATGCGCATTTCAATTTTTTGCGACTATTAATAGCTATTAATTCTATGAGAACACTAGGAATTTTTCAGCTTTTTGCAAAAGAATTCTCTTAACTATACAACTACTTTTCAAATTCATTTCATGCTAAAATAAATCCTGGTGGTCCCAAATTGTTTTATCGAATTTCTCGAATTATATATCGCTAGCAAAAATATTTTTCGAAATCGATCGATCTTCAATATTTCACTTTTAAGATTTTAAATTATAAAATAAATTTATTAATATTTATTACTTGATTTTTTTGTCTTTTTGTTTTACGTATTTATTGATATATATAGGTTTAAGGAAAAAAAATTTACCTTAAAATATGCATATCGTTTGGCTATTTTCAGTAATTGAGCAAAACTAAGTACTGCGCCATTTTAAAAGATCATTTCGCCAAGAGATATCACTTTGGGAATAGTGCTATAGGGAAAATACTTGAAGGACAACCAATGATAAAGTTTTATCGTGCTTATTGCTTAATTTTACCTTAACCTCGATAATTATCCACTGAAATTATTTAGAAATAGAATGCTGGTAGAAGAATTTTCGTCAAGCTAAAATTGAGTTACAGTAAAGTTCGATGAATTAAAAAAATTATCAGCTATTCGAAAGAAGTTTAAAAGAAAGTTCGATGTAATGAATAATTAAATTATTTCGCTAATTAATTCGATAAAAGTCTTTTTTTCGGTGCAAAGAAGTGCCAGAATGCCAGAACAAAGAAAAAAATATCTAAGAAATATTAAAAAATAATATATTTAAAAAATATTTAATATATTTAAAAAAATATATCAGACAGAATTTAAGTAAGCAAGTGGTAAAGTAAGATTCACTCTCATACGATGAGGTAATTTCGGTAGAGAACCAATCGTTGGAAGTGGGGATAGGATGGCTTGGTGGGTTGCTGCTCAATTCACCGGAGCGCCGATGTTGAGATTCTATTCTCAGCATGAAAAACCTGTTCAAAAATCCAGCTGCTTGTGACTCACCTACACTTTTATCGCCAAGCAACTTTCTGGTATATTTGTCCAATGCGACAAGCCAGCAAGTAATGATGAAGACTTTTAGAAAAAAAAATTGTGGGAAGTACAAACGCGTTCATGGTACATCTGCTTCATTAGTTTTTATTAATAGATTTGCTTTTATTAAAAGCAGAATGAAGCTTGAAGATTTCCATGAAAATGGAAATTCTTTATTTATTCTTCATATTTTTCATAGAATAAAAAAAATTAAATATTATTTAAGAGTTTCTCGTTCTTGATTATTTACGAATGACGAGAAATTTTTGTTCCTTTGCATGTGCAATAAATAAATATTTCTATCAAAAACACATAAAATTTTTATCGATAAACTATTTCAGGAAAAACTAATTCTTTAGATTTTTTCTTTTAAGCTATATTCGAGTTAACGATTTCCAAGCCGATTATTGCGATATGCGCTATACTACTAGCTATATAACTAATATAACTATTAATTTTGCTATATATTACTATATGTCACATTACTGAATACTGAATAGTAGTTGACAATGTTATATGTTTAAAAGCGATTCGATTGTTGACAAGCAATTATCCCTTTGAAATTGGTATGAAAATTACTATAATTAGCATTATTTGATGTGCTCATCGTCATATGAAAAATTATTTTATAGCGAAATATATTTTTAGATTATTTATCTAAATTTTGGACTTCCAATATTTCTCTCTTTTTTTTATGCTAAAAAAAGATATTAATCATGAAAATTTTATTATCTATTATTATTTATTATTTTATTAAAATTTGTTTTTTCATAAAATTTTTTAGATATTTAACGTTGCAAGGAATTTAATCTGCTGTTGAAATAGATTTTTGAGAAATTTTCCAAGACTGACTTATGAATAATAAATTAAATTCAATCGACAAAACGGCCGAGTGGTGATTGAATGGTTTTCAATTTTATCACTTTGTCGCTAAATAATTCTTTAACGAATGGTTTTAATCGTAGTAATCAGATCTTTGGAAATAAATCAGCCAAATCAGTAGTTGTAAAATCCTTAAAATTCAACCTTTTAAATGTACATTAAATATATATATACATAAATAGTGAGAAATTTATCGTAAAAAAACAAGCAAATTTCGTATTTATTTCAAACAAAATTATAATTTTAGAATTATTTTTAAAAAGAAATATGTGAAATAATTGAATTTGTCGATATTTGAGCCAATTGATTCACTTGAAACGTCCAACGGCTTCACTTAAAATTATTTTAAAAAACCCAAAATTTCAATCTCACAAATTCTGAAACTTGTAAAATATTATTTAATTAAATATTATTTAATTAAATATTTCATTAGAAATTTGGAATTTGTAGAATTCATTTTAGGACAAGGAATTCGTCGATTGCTGATTGCCAAATGGCGGAAAATCGTAGAATAGTTTTTGTGGGTGAAAAGTTCGGTTAAATCCATATAAATCTCTTTCACAGAATATATTATTATATTACAAATACTATTAACGGACGATAGTATTATTTTTCATAGATTTAACAATTATTTGGCAATTTGATATTAATAATTTAGCTTCTTTAAAAATTTACTCCTGAAATCAGTCGATTTTATCAAAAAACTGTGGAACATAGCCAATGAGATTAAAAAGCATCACGAAGCAATTTCAGACCCGATAGTGTCGATCTTGCCTTATCGACAAATGTTCTTGAATTATATCTCTCACGTATATCAAATTTCATTCTTTCGGAATCTATTTTGACATTTTCAGTTGATTTCCTATTCAATAGATTGAGTGAATCGAACCAATAAGACTAATTTTTATTCGTTAAAAAAAAAGAATATCCATAATCGAGAAAACTCTAGAAGTGCTAAATGATTTTCGTTAATCCATGAAAGGAAGGAAATTCTTGTCAAATTTTTAGCTTTTGTTTACTCGCTTAGCTGTGACATGAATCCATGAATCTTTCATGAATCCATAATTTTATTAATGAACCATTTATGCCAATAATATTGATTTTAATTTTCAACATTTTATGATTTAACTTTTTTTCTTTTTTTTTTATTCTTGTTTCATTATTATCGCTGAGATATTTAATATTTATGGATGAAACTCTAGGAAAAATATTTTTAAGTAGCTTACTTAGCATAAATTGGGGAGCGTACGAACTGTTTTTAATTGAAGTCCCTCGGGCTATTTGCTATTTTCAGATGTTTGGATGTTCTTCGTAGATATATGCATAAATAACTTTGCACACAGTTTCACGAAAACTTTTTCATTGAAATTATTCGGATAATCGCTTTGGTAGGCTTTATTTCTCACCAAATAATATCCTTCCCTTGAGTATAGCTTTTTAGCCAAATTCTTTTTCTGGCACTTCTCCCATTGTGGCTAAATGGAATAAACAACATTGGTCTTAATCAACGAAAATAATTTATAAAATAAAAACGTTTGTAGATTTTAATCGAATTATTTATAAGCAAATTTAGATAAATTTAAGATTGAAAACTTTTTATCTCTTTGAATCTAATTGAATTTTAAGAAATGAATTTGCCAAAAAATATAAAATATCCCAAAAAATCAAATAATCTTACAACTTTGAAATAACACATTCAATTTCTTCTTCTTTGTTTAATTTTTGCTGTTATGAGACCATTTCGATAGAAATTTTGTTTGAAGTAGTAGTTGCGTTTAACTTCCTGGCAGTTTCAAATTTCACCAGCATTTTTAGTAAAATAGTTTAGGAATAAATTTTTGAATTTTGTTTAATATGGCAGAGCGAATCTGATTTCGTGGTATCTTATAAAATTAAACTTTCTCCACTTTTTCACGAGTTTTCATAATTTATGCAAATAATAGTTCTAAGCGTTTTTCATAAGCATTTATCATTAAGAATTCATTTTTTGGAGAAGTAAGGCTTTAATATTCGATAAAAATTAGAAATAATAATATACTTAAGTGAAGTTAGAAAAAAAAAGGAATAAATAAATGGAATTAAGATTTGCGAATTATTTTTCGATCGTTCAGAATATTAAATAAATAAAAAATAAACAATTTTATAAACAATTTATATAATTTTGAATAATAATAAATAATTGAATAATAATAAATAAAAATTAATTTTAATTAGTTTCATAATTTCAAATTTTAAATGGTTTTTCTAAAATTTATGGACAATTTTAAATAAAAATAACCAATTAAAATTGTTATAAAACAAAAAATTATTTTTTTGAACTTAGCTTCACAGAACTTCTATAGAATATCTTCAATTAACGCTATAAATAATGATTTTTGTTTAAGAATTACTGGCGATTATTAAATAACTAAATTAAATTCATCGAATGTTATGTAATAATTATTATAACAATTATGAACATCGAATATTTCTTCTAATTTCTTAAAAGCTCAGAATCATATCTAGAATATTTATTCTAATATAGCCTAATGAAAATTAGAAACTTTGGCCACAAAGACTTTGGCTAGAAGTGATCAGATTTTAGTTTTCGAAGTGGATCACAATTTTCAGTTAAGTAAATTTTATAGATAATAAGTAAATTCTATAGATATTTTATTTAAAAAGGAATGTTTTCAAACTATTATATTTTATTTTTGTTAAATTCATATCTTAAATTCATTTTTTTCACGAAACAATCAATTTAGCCAAGGCGACAATTATTTTTAAGAAAAAACAATTCCGGAGCTGATGAAAATAAAATCCCTTTCTCTTCAAGCACTTTACGTTCAAAATAAAATAAATATTAGAAAAAGATATTTTAAAAATTTAAGCAAATAAATAACGTTTAAGTTGATTTAAATGATGTAAAAATTTTGTTTGAATAAAAAATTCATTGGAAGCAAAGAGGGATCATTTACAATCGAATTTTTTAAAGCTAAAATTACTTCTCTAA